GATACGAGCAAAGCAGTTTCTATAAATATCTAAAATTAATGACTGAGGCAAAATTGTTTTACCTGAACCTGGTGGTGCCGATATAATCATAGACGCGGGCAATCTAGGCGCCACATCGTATTTAGATTGTCTAAAGTCGTATTCCTTTACATTAACTGGTCTGACTATAGGCGTAGTCATTAAGAAAAATACATAGATTTTATTTTTTTAAAGTATATGGAAGAAAGTAAAATAACATATACTGAATGCGTTGAGGTAATCAACGAAATAGATACCATTGAGCAAATAAGCGCCCCTCCTAAATATCGTAGGTGTTGCCATAGTCCTTTAGAATTGGTGAAGGCAGCTTTTTTCTATTGCATTAATGAGCGATAAAAGCGATGACAGCGACAAAAGGAAAGGCTTTTTCATTAACGCTAATGGCATGTCTTGTATCCATTGTAGATGTAAGAGACAGTCATACCATAAAGAAACAAAAACGGTGAAGGAAACAATGTAATGGCAACTATCGTAATTGAAGATAGGCGTAACTTAAAATTTGGTGGTCGTCATGTGGTGCCTGATGAGAACGGTATATTCAAAAGCGATAAGCAAGTGGGAAGCGTTGAAATTTGTAGCGCTGGGTCTGGAACTCATAGCATAATGCCTGAAGACTGCGAACAAAGAATAGAAGAGAACACTACAGACCCTGAAGCCATCAAAAAAGACATAGAACGAATAGAAATTGAAATTGATGAGTTGAAACAACGCATTTTAAAAAGTTTAATTAATATAATATATGGACTCTTTATGTTTCAAGAAAGAAAAGAAAGAAACCACGAGTACTTGGTTAATTGAAAGAAGAAAGATAAGAATGTATAATGCTAGGTTAAGCACTATAATCGATGAACTAGAGGATTATCAACATTAAGCCAGTATAAGAAACGATTGTTCTTAGAATTTTATCAACTACACGAGATATTACGACAACTGTTTAAAGATATGGTTGTATATAATGTGACAGTGAAAAAACTCCGCAGAGTTTTTAATACTAATGGGTTTTTCGCGTAAAGCCCATCAATGTATAGTTCAGCATTAAGTCCCAGGCATCATTTCTTCACCCCCGCGTGTTGCGCTATACCATAAAGCATACCATAAGAGCATGGTAATGGTTAATTAGCTTGATGCTTCTTTTGATTGCCCATTGCCCCTATAAATGTTATAATGTTAATGAAAATATTAGAAGATTTTTGCAGTCCAACCATGCCTAAAGACTAGACGTTTTAATATGTTAAGATGGAAAAGCGAGTGTGTAAGTCGTGCTGCGCGACTAAAGATGTTGAAGAAGTTGACGGTTTTAAGACTTGTAACCGGTGCCGTGAAGCGAAAAGAAAATGTTACGAGAAGAACCAGAAGGAGTATAACCCAGCGAGAAGAGAGAGCAAAGGGATGCCAATTATGCGAAGAATGCGGACATAAAATGAAACACGAAAACTGGGATGTCCATTTCCATTATGCGTTACACCCGAATTCGGAACTAAGTATAATGATGAATGGTTATTTAACGAAGTTAGGTAGTTTAAGGAAAGAAGGCAAACTAAACGACAAATTACAAGCAGATATTCAGGCAGAATACGAAAAGCAGAAAAGGCAAATACGCAAATGATTAAACGAACAATTCCCTAATGAGTTTTTTTGATGAAGAGGCAACACCTACGGCCCGATCCTGAGAAACCTAAATCCGATCTTGATAAAGTATTCAATCATGCCCATCAACGACGAGTTTTTAGAAGATTATTGTATGCTATTTGGGTAAGCATAAGGATAGGATAATTATTGAAAATCCGGTTGATAAGTCATGGGTATAATGTAGGTATAACCTCTAAGATTTTACGAATTATAACTACATTATGACATTACCTTATTCCCAAACCTTATTCCTATTATAGAAACTTTATTAGAGACTACCACTTCCATTTTTAAGGGTTAGGGGTTTCGGGTTGGGGAATATGGTTCTTCTATGGGGGTGCGGGTCTATGGGGTTGAGGTTCGGGTTTTTTCTATGGGGTGGTGTATGATTCTTCTGGTGGTTCCATCATGTGGGTATTCGGGTTGGGTGTTTTTGGTGGGGTTAGGGTTGAGGCATAGGTTGTTATGGTTTTGGCTCTTCAGGTGGGTCCTTCCTATGGGTCTTTCGGTGGGTTTAGGGTTGAGGTATAGGTTGTTATGGTTTTTTGTCTGCAGGTGGCCTAGGGGGTGGGCATGGTTGGAAAATGGAAATGGTAGTTGCTAACTTACAGTAGAGGGTTACATCTTTGGAGTTATAGTAGAGGGTTATATTTTCGTGACAGTGTGGAGGTGTTGTAGTAAAATATCGCAAAATTTTGCTAAATGCACAGAATAACTATTGCTAAATTATTGATAAACTATAGTCTATAATTACTAGGACCTTCATGTTAGGTCCCCAAGTCTGTTTCTTAGTGTGTTTGGCCAGGTGCCTGCCTGGGTGGCTTCCAGGACAATTTCAAGCCGCCCGTGCTTGACTCTGCAGAAAGCTGGCAGAGATTGGGGTCAGAGCAATCTGAGTGGGCCAAAATGTAGCAGTGTAGCAAAAGGGAAAGTTGCGAAGGGTAGCCAAAACGAGGACAAAACATGAAAGAACTTCAGCATTTCGCTCAGGCTAGATGCAGCTGGTCTTAATGGGAATGCCAGAGGAAGCTCAGACCTTGGATCATTGTTGTGATGAAGAACTGTCCAAGTGTGCCAAATCGTGCCAAGCTTCGTCTCCCAGGTGTGTACAGAGATGGTGCCAGCGAAGCAGGACTTGATCCTGAGCATGGGGGCTCGGTGTTTTGCTTGCTTTGCTCATGCTCTTTGCCATGCAAACTACGCTGAGGTCGGCTACGGCACGCGTTCTGGCCAGATCGAAATCGACTGGCTTCTTAGCCTAGTTCTTGCGGAGAAGCCAAATTATAAGCTGCCACTTGCACCAGCAGCATTCGACTGCATAACTTCCCACAGAAACCTCTCTTATGTATGACGATGCAGGTAGAAACCTCCATGGGTGAAGCCAGGGTTCGGGTTTCATAGCAAGTGTATGCAAACTTCTTTACTGATTACTTCGCATTCTGCGGGCCTCGTTCGGTGCCTGACGCTCGTTCTTGGAAAGTGGCGCTGTATCGAAACTTCAGTCACATTATACAGTTGTACAGTTTTTGTGCAGCGACCGAATAGTATTAAATGAGCACTCAGCTACATTTTGTCAGGCTGCCAGTGACGTTTCAAGAGGAGTTTTGCTGCATGCCGTCTTGTAATTTGATACTGTACCCTGACTACGAGGACATGCTTGATAACTAATGACCTGTCAGGCACCTGAACCAAGCGTGACAGACCGTACAAAGTGAAGTCCTCGTCCTCATTCATCGTGGAACATTACGCACAGTACTGTAGCGATGGGGCTTCCGCTCTCGACGTTCAGCTCAACGTATGCGTTCACACACGTCAGCCAGCTACAGCCTCTGCGGAAAACTGCTAGAGATCGTGTTGCTTTGTCGGGTATCTGTGGGCTTCAAGTGCCAGTGGGATCAGAGAGCGCTAGCAGAGAGACGGTCAACACGTCGAAAACGGCTTAAACTGCATCCCGGTGCTCATGGGTTCATTATGTTGACCATCCTGATCTTGATCTTTCCAAAAGCCGACCCTGGGACCCAACTGGGCCATTTGCCTCTCAGTCCTAGCTCATACAGTCGGGCCGAGATCGTGCACGGGGCCACGAAGCCCAAAACATCCCGCCCACGACGAGGAGGCCAGCAGTCAGTTGCCAGGTGAAAACGATTCAGCTCGGAAACGAAGCTGCCTTTGCAATGTTTTTTGCGGCCTGGGCGAGTTTTTTGCACACGAGATCGCCAAAGTCGGATATTTGGCCCGCCCTGCACGTTGACATGTCCGAGCCTTTGCTAGCTGAACAAGTTCATCGCAAATCATGTTGTGGAAATTCGGGCATCCAGCAGCGAATTACAGGAAACCTGGTTTTTTGCCAATGTTGCAAGCACTACGTGAAGAAATCTTGGTTTTGGCATTCAATGCTAACAGATCATGTTGTGTCTTAGAAGTCTTGGACCAACGTACCGAATTTTCAGGGCGCTGTTGAAAACAGGATGGAATGCAGTCGAGGCACGAGGGTTTTTGCAGATGAATGCTGCTTTAGTAGTCGTGGAATCGGCGAAGCCGATCTCAAGATTTCCGAGCCTGCGGCGATACATTCAGTGCTTCCGAGCCTGCCGCCGACAGATGCGAGAGGTGGGCGGATTCGACACCAGGGCAAAGTTTGGATTCCAGACATGTCAGCCAGGTGCAGGCTCAGCAATGCTTGTCGTAGCAGAGACAGCACAGCTGATGTCATCCTCAAATGAGTGATGCTTGCGTTGCGTGGTGTTGCCGTTGTTCATCGGAGCTTTACCAGACACACCAAACAGACCATACACACATCAATGGTCCCATTGAACCCAGCCTTGTTAAGTTCTTGAGTCTTATGTGCTGAAAGAGTCAATGGCGGAAGCAAAGAGGGATGCTTAACGATGCTGTTTGGGTTTTGCGACGGCTTTGCAATGTGCAGAATGTTTGCACTCGCAAGTTGCAGCGCTACTGATATGAGCTCGTGCCGCGCGGTGTTTGAGCTTGTGGTGCCCAACGGCCTAATAGGAACAATGCGCCAACACTACGTCAGCAGCAAAAACATCTAGCCACGGAGATGCCATCACGTCTATGTCAGATACATGGGCAAGCACAAGCAACAACGATCATGATCTGCTTGTGCATTTTCTCTCCATCTCCTTACCCCGAAAAGCCCGCGCTATCGCATAGCCCAGAAACAGAAACGGTCGAGCGCTGGACAACCATGTGTACCACGGTATTGCCATATTGCCTCACCAAGGTAACCAAGGTACTATTCGCAACATGACTTAACAACCCAGTTTAAGCGAGAAACACTAGGGACCTCTAGTTAGTTTCATGGCTTCAGCATGCGCAGCTGCTTCGTTGTCCCAGCGCTGTGTTATTTTTATATTGGCAGCTTTCCCGGCGCCGCAACAGCGCCAGCACGAGCATGCGCCCAAAGCGATTGGCGCTTCAGCTTCGGAATCTGTCATGAGGGCACGAGGCACGTTTACCCATACACGCAAAGATGCGATAGCGAGAAGAGCCCTGTGAAACCACAGCCGCTTTTCAACGTCTCTTGTCGCAGAACCTGTCCCGCGGGCACGCACCTGGGAGCCGAGCTGCGAGATGGCCAAACGGCCCTGGACTGCTTGCCTTGCAAACCTGGCCACTTCTCTCTGGGCGGTGGGCTCTTGATTTCCGGGGTGGCCGGCGACTGGCATCGGTCGTGGCCTCCTGGACTCCGCAGCAGCTGTTCGTACAGACGCCTCGATGGTTCTTGGCACACGGATGGTGCCAGCACCACGGGGCTTGTGACTGGCGCGTGCCAGATACACATCCTGAGCCCTCCAACAGTTGCAGGCGCTTATTACATCAAGGCCACCTACCTGAACACCAAAGGACACGAACCTCCACTTGGGACAGCCTTGCTCAAAATGGCGCCCCTTGATCGGCGCCTGTGCACTCGAATACCACCTTTGGAAACGCACGGTGGTCACACTGGTCACGCTGGTCACACTGGTGGCTTCGCAGGTCAAAGACCTGGCACCAACCAGCCGGGGAACGGAGGCATTCGCAGCCAAAATTTCTGGTTCTTGGCTGCGGCAGGTGGCTGCTCGCACAAGAGAAAATCGGAAGTGGCAGGGATGGCCGGAGCACAGGGGGTGGTGCTGGCCCCGGCCGCTGCTCTGGATATCGGAGCTGGCATGCACTTCGCTCCAACCCCACAGCAACCAATGGGGCCACGCAACGACTCACGCACCGTGTCGGTCTATGAGTTTGTAGACAACCAAGATGCCCAAGTCCTTGCCGCGGTTCTGCAAAAGGCCAAGGGAGAAGTGATTCTCAACCACACGGCCGTCCAGCAATGTGCACAGACCGGGCCCTTGGTCCAGCCGGATCCTGGCAATCTACCTGAGGCCGGCAACGTGACGTCGCGTGGCGAAGAGAATGGTTCAAGTTTGGAGAATATGGTGGCGTAGCTCATGTGGGCATTTACCAAAATTAGGGGACCCCCCACCCTCTTGATCCCCAAATAGTATAAGTAGAATTCTCTTGTGAAACGGACCTCAAGAAGGTACCCTTAATTTCGGAGATTCCCATGTATGTTTCGTCGCATCATGTCCTTCCAGCCAAGTTGCGCCCGCAAAGCAAGTACCCGATGGCACTCAGGTACGGCTGCAATGCGTGGATGCCGGACGAGCAAGGACACAGCATCCACTCCGGTGACAATCGCAACTTCAATCGCATGGCTCCTTGGGACTGTTGTATCCTTCCTGGCCCTAAATGGAAAGGCAATCAAGCAAGCAGAGCAAAGTGTTCATCTTGTCGCAGACGCATGCAGACCCTTGTAATCTCAAGGTGTCAACCTTGGAACTAAGCGTGGACATTGTGCGGAAGGAGGGCTACGTGCTGTTCCGTTACCAGGTTGATGCGGAGGACTGCAAGAAGATGTGATGTGAACCAGCCGTTGTATGCACTCCACAAACGTATGCTGATGTATGCTGTGAGGAAGGCTATGATGGTTTCAGCTTCGAAGTTGATTGGAGAGAGGCTGCGTTGCTCTGCAAGTCATGGGTTCAAGGGAAACGAGCGTTGTGTTCGCCTGATCTTGCTCGGGTCGTTTGAACGCTCTACTTGCCAAGCTCCTTCGATGCACTTTGCTGGACAGCCCAACATTGCGCATGCAATCATATGTATGATATGTATGTATGCGTGTATGTAGGTAGCTATATATCACAGCCCGACTCGTTTGGTCGAGATGTTGCACGCTCCTTATCATTCGGCTTTATTCGTTTCCGGCGACATGGAAGTCGTGTGATTTGGAGAGATGTTTGGCGTGGGTGATGCTGCACCCGAAGCCAGAAGCATCCGCAAGCCAGGATGTGCACCAAGAGTGGCTGTCTCCAATAACCTCAACAATCCGCGCAAGACTGCTCAGACTATGCTGGGCCGCACACGACATTGAGCGGTGTGGCAGGTGCCGTAACTCTGTTGTCTGCTTAAGTCATGGGGCTTTCCATAGCAATGGCCCTGGGATCAGAAACAAAAGCCTAGATCACAAAACCGTTGAGACTTTGGATGATTTTGGTGCCTTGCTTGTATGGCACAATGTACACCAATGGCAGCACATTGGCATTTCAATCGCGGCGGAGGCCATGCCATCAACTTCCCTACAGCGGAACTGGACAGATGTCCGAATCAATCTCACAAAAGGCACCTTGCTCAAGGGGATTCCTAGCGTCCGTCTGCCTTGCGCCATGCTGTGCCGTGTGAGGCACGCATATCCTCCGGTGGCAGTATGCCAAGGACCCGAATGGACCCGAATGGAGTGACGTCAGCTTGCCATGGGTCAGGATTTGTTTTGGTTGAGCGAGCGAGAGAGAGAGAGAGAGAAAGAAAGAACGAAAGAAAGAAAAAAAGAAAGAAAGCTAGAAAGCAAAAATGAAGAGAATGAAATACAGAAAGAGAGAGAAGGAGAGAGAGGGAGAGAGAGAGAGAGAGAGAGCGAAGACCACCACGCCCGTCACCCGCGATTAGCAGATCACCGCCGACGTCGGGGGCATGATGGAACAAGCAGCCGTGACTGAGGGGTGAGTAGTAGCCCACACCGGTGCGAATCCCGACCCTCAACGGTTTTGACCATGTCCGTACTGCTGGTTATCCTAAATTGTGGCCTTCAAGCGGAGCATCGGGACCAAAAAGCACTGAAACACAGGCAGCGACAACCCCCGGGAGTGAGCGGATGGCCTAGTTGTTCACTGTACGCCGTGTTGCGTTCGGACCTCCAGAGTTGACAAGCTGTGGCCCATGCTTACATACACTCCAAAAGGTGGTCGCCAACAACACAGCCCCAACCCATTAAAAAAACTTTCGAGTGTTCTACCCGAGAGTATTGTTTGAGTACTTTTGGGGGAATACACACGCACACCGTGCACAGGGATCCAACCCCTTCTTCATGGGGAAGGGGACAATCCAGCTGTGTGAGAGTGCGTAAAGTGTAAAGTTTCACACAGACTGGATCGCTGGAGCACGCCCCTCGGGCCGACTCCCTTCGGGGCGTCATGTGCGCACGAAGGAAGGAAGGAAGGAAGGAGCCGGCGCTGAAGGGCGAAAGATGACAAGAGATGCCGACCTCACACGACATGAACTCACCCGAGCACTGGGGCCAAGCGATCATCAAACGAGCGAGGAGCAGAAGGAAAACCGAAGCTTAAATTTAGAGAGCCAGTTTGTATTGAGGTCTACATTCACCAACCAGTAGGCCTCCAATGGTCCTTTTTGAACAACCCCCCGAACCGGAGGAGGCCATTTGCCCGTCATGGCTTCTCGCCATCTCCCACAGCGACGACATGCGACGACCCTCCTCACCACGACAATCCACGGAGCAGGGGCGATACAGAAGTTCGGGAGCGCGGGGGAGAGCGTCGCCCTCACCGGCAAGCTGGCACAACAAGTGAGGGTGGCATGGAGTCATCCCGAGCCCTCAAACCATTCGAAAAGAAGAATCAGCAAAGCAAACAAAAAGTGCGAGAGAGAGAGAGAGAAGAGAGGTAAAGAGGGGGCACGCCTGGAATCCTAAGCTCTAAGCCATTCGAAAAAAGAGATCGACGACAGCTGGGTTGAGGCCTTTTTGGACTCAGGTGTTTACGCCAGTTTATGCCAATCTGCTAGAGAGATGGCAGAGTTTTTTCCCACATGTGTAGGACTACAGCGGCTACAGTGGCATGGACCGCGCACAACTGCAGCGCGATGCCCAGATCACAAGTGAAGCCCGTCATGCCTTTCGATTCGAGACAATGGCCTGCGCTCCTTGATGGGTGCCCCAAGGCTTGTTCAAGTCGTGGGGACACAATACGCAGACCTGCAGTGCTTCCACTGCCACGGCGCCGGCCCGAGCTCTTTTTCCGGCCAGAACTGCGGTAGCCTGTGCATATCGAACTGAGCGTGATTTCAGAAAGCACTGCCTCCGCCGAAGAATGATCGAGAGAAGGCTCCGGCACGCACAGCACGGCGGGCGCTGAGCATTGTAATGCGACTTGCTTGGAACATGGAAAATTCCACGGCAAGCAGTTGAGTGAGTGTTTGGACTGCACATGTACACGTCTCCTCATGTGATTGATACATGCAACTCAAGCCACTCATGATTCGACAGAGGCATGTCTGCGGAACCAGTGCCCTCTCCTGACGTTGTCTGTTCCGGCTGCCCAGCCGAGGGAGCACTGTAGCCTGGTCACTGGAGTGCCACGAGTTTGGGACGGTTTGGGATTGCCGTTATGTTCCGAGATGTGGTTGCAGGTACCTTTCCGCAGGCGGATCTGCCAACTTGGCAAAGTGCAAGCCAGAGCGCCCAATTTGAAAAGAGCTCGCAGAGCTTGTTTGCAGAACTTTCATTGGGGGTTGCCGGGGGCTACTCTGGAGGCCGTGTCCCACCGGCAAGTGGTCGGTACCTGGCAGCATATCTGCAGCATCCTGCGTCACGATCCCGAAGTGCACAAACAAGGATGTCAAGGCAGGTTGTTTGCGTTGTTTCCATGCGCAGCAGCAGAGCAACAGCAATGGTGCCCGACTTGGTGGCAGGTCTCTCTTTCACCTTGTCGGGCCGGAAAGCAGCACCAAGTGAGGCACCGACTGCGACTTGCAGATGGTGACGCTGTGCTGACTTGCTGTGACTGCAGCCTTACTGCAGCTGCCAGGAGCTGGATCCCTCCAGTGATTTGCGATGCGCGGCCCTCGCAAAGCTTTAGATTTCACATCAACCTTATGTGCACACTGCCATGCCACGTGTCTAAGACTTCTGTTGCTCATCAATCCCCTAGTCACCCCGCAGCAGAGACAAGTACTTGCACCGTCCGAGGTTAACGACTCGTCGGCGGCAGCTCTGCTTCAGGGATCTGCTGGGGAACAGGCTTCGGTGACTGTTGCACTGCGAAGATATCGGGTTCAGCATTGAGCTTGGCCGTGGATCTGTGGTGTAGAGTAATTATGCTTTTGTTTCTGACAGGCCTGTGCCCCCTGCGAGCCGAATACATGGCGACCTGAAAATGCCGATTGTGTGCGCGGCACTCAAGACTCAGCACAAATGCAAGAATCTGGCGCGACCCTGCTGGCTCTAATTTGTGTCCAATTATGCCACCTCTTTGGGCCTTCGGAGAGGCCAAACACAACCTCTTGCCCCGCTGGTCACCATGCAGCTCGGCACTGAGCCTTCGCTGAGCCTTGTGGCCCAGAAGCACCGCATGGGATCAGGCTCGTGGGCATGAATCGCATGAAGGAGCTTAGCGGGTCTAGGGCTTCATCATTGGGCCATACGGGATCCAGAGGACAGGTTCTGGAAGGCTGTGGGGGGGTCCGTGCAGTGCCCGTAACGGCGGGTGCAACGGGAGTCCCAAAAAAGGAGGTCGAAACGGGGAGCCTCTCTAGGTTTCTAGCCCATGAGAGGTCTTTTACTAGGAGTGCGAAACACACGCGACTGCGCATCCACGACTCCAAGATTCCTGGTATTTTGCACGCCGCAAATGCATCCAACTTTATCAACATGGCTCGATGCTTCTGCCTCTCCGACGTGCAAAACAAATCACAATGCGTCCTGGTACCTCAGAGTCTCGCCGTAGACCTGTTGAGCACTGCAGATCCTGGCATTGTTAAGACGCAACGCTTTTTTTTAGGAGGCACGTGCAAAAAAGGCTTTCTGCGAGAAATCGCGGCGCTGCTTGGCTGCTTAGTTACTTGCACAGATCCGCACTTTCGCCAGTTGCGAGCCATGTCTGATGAACCTGCCCAAAACATCGATCGTTTTGATGGAGCAAAAAGAGCGTTTCCGAGTTCTCAAGGGAGCTGCAGTTTTCCTGTGAACGGTGTCCGGTCGGTTCCACAAAGGTCACCGAACTCGTTCTCAGTCGCTGGGCGGACTGGCCAAAGAACCTCTCTCAGGAGGCGCAGCCGCTGCGAAAGTGGCTTTGGGGAGCAGGAGTAGTGAAATGTGAGCTGTGACATGCTGTGACAGAGCGATCGCAGCCAGGTCATCGGACCTCATGGAGAGGAGACGGGCTTTGTCCGTATCTCAATGAAATTGGCTGTGTAGTGCCTGTATGCTGCAAGATGTTGCAGGGCCGTTTGTTCAGCGACGTCGTGTTGCGAGTTCCGAAGGCTGACGTCCCGGGTGGCTGGGCGTTGAACAACGGCGTCCTCCACATGACATTGGGAGTTGGTAGCCGTGCTGCGCTCAATTTGATTCGAAGTCTATGTAGTCTGCACGATGTATTTGCAGTGTCCATGAAGAGATGGCTTTTGCACCGTTTGCATGAAAGAAGTGTATCAGAAATAATCAGAAATGAACAACACACTTCTGCAGATTATCCATCATTATCCATGTATATCCTACATGCACACAGCAATTGAAAAACCTCGGGTTCTGTCAAAGGTACGCGCAGCGTGCAAACGTCAAATAGCTGACGTTGTATAGAAGCATTGCCATGGGGGCAGTCAGCCACGTGTGCTGGTAACCGTTTAGCAGAGGACACGCACATGGGCTTCGCAGGCCCCCTTTTTACCAGCCGGCCCATTTCCTGAGGACATTTTAGGGTTGTGACTGCGGCTTCTGCACGGTCGAATCGCTCGGACCGTTTCCGCCTCGCTGCATCCATCCAAGCTGTCGTTGGGCTATCTCGGGTACTCCTGGCACGTCAGCCGAGCAACAAAGCTGGCAATAGTGGGCGTTCAACCTTGTTGTCACGAAGAATCATGCATGAGAGATCATGAGATCTGATTCGAAGAAACCGCAGATTTGCATTTGCATGCTTCATTTAGCTGAGAATTCTCTGACAATTTCATCTGTTCCTACGAGCAGCAAAATCGTTTCGCATCCACAAACAGCTGTCGAGGCTTCTGGAATCTGAGCTTTGTCGCTTCTTTGTTGCATCTGGCGCTTCGCACCTCTGGGCTTCTTGGGGGTTGAAAGATGTGAACCAGTTGTAGAAACAAGGAAGGCAAAACGGCCTCCAAGAGGTCGTAGGCCTCCATGGTGAACAAGAAAGCACGGCCCAAACAGCAAACTTAACATATACAGTAGCTGGTCAGTGGCAGTCATGTGTAGCCTTTGCTCAGTCCATATCACGGACAAGCTCGAAGCGCGCCTTCACCTCGACGTGCACGTAACGATGTCGTGGCAGCCCCAGACGAAGATGAACAAAAACACCATCGCGCAGCTCCATGCAACTCGCAGCATCGCATCATGCCTTCGTAACTTCTATACTCTCACATCTTTAACACATCCTTAGCACTTTTTTCCCCCCCTCCATGTAAGTGCCCAAGCCAAGGCCTGGCCGCGTGAACTTCACCATGGAGCTGCCGAAAGCTGACATGTGAGGTTCTCAGGAGCTCTCTTAGGTCACTGGCACCTCTGGAGACTGAAACGAGTATGAAGCGAATCTAGTGCAGCTCCGGAGGTGGGGCTCGGATCTGCTGTTCTTGGTGGATGGCGTGGCTGGCTCCAACTTACTTGGAATGCAGGTGCTCGGAGCCCAGGCCCTTAGGCCCACAGCGACGAGCCACGGATCATGCGGCACATTTCAAAACAAGGACCCAAGTGGCTGAGCAGCGTGTGACCCACCTTCAGGCTGGGACGGCTTTGCAGGATTCGCCCTCCAAAAAGATGAGACGAGGTTTGCAGGTTTTCAAGGTCTGCCGGTCACGAACCTCGGCACAGATTTTGCCGGGGCTGCCTATTTGCAACCCTTCCCCCCCCCCCCCCCCCAAGGCCTTCCCCAAGGCCCCCCTCCCCATCTAAGAGCGGCGGCCAGCGAAGAACAACAGAAAGGGACCAAGAGTCATGTCTGTAGGAAGATGCCAAGGCTCGTCTATCTACAACAGGATCAACAGGCCTCTGTCAAAGCTCCCGCACGACGACCTAGACCCCAATTCCTAGAATTTAAACCACAACTCCCAATGCCTTAAACCGTAAACCTCAGATTCCAAACCCTGAAGCCCCGAGCTATACCGTCTAGCTCACCTGGCCCTTCCAAAACCGTTAAACATCGTTAAGCCTTGTGCAGAGTTTTGAGTTGATTTGAGTAAAGGCTTAGGATATTTAAGTTAAGCTTGAGACCGAGCCTGGTACCTCAAAGCCCCGAACTCGACACTCTCATTGCAGAAAGCCCCCCAAAATCCAAAAAAAAACCCAAAACTCAGACCCCCTCCAAATAAGGATTACATAGGAGCTACTTCGGGTTTAAGTGCTCCCTACAACAGGAGCCATCGTCACGCTTTGCTTTGTGGATCTGCGCAGGTGTCCGCCCCGCTGTGGCCAGGGCGACACCGCCTCACTTGGAGTTGCCCAATCCCCAGATGGTGCCTTTTTCTGAAGCCGGTTGAGGGTTTAGGGTTTAGGGTTTAGGGCTAGCAGTCTAGCACCAGGTGTGCAAGCATGCGGAAGAAGAAGAGACTGGCCCAAGTGCTTCGCAGCTTCGCGTGTCGAGGTAGTCACTCCTTGCTGGCGCAAGTCGGGAACCCTGGGATACCCTATAAGATGTATATAAATATATATAGTAGTTATGTTTATACATACATATAGTAGTTATGCTTATATATATATAGTAGTTATGTATATGTGACTTGTCGATTCGACCTTTTCCTGCAGGGCAGGGTGAGGTGTGTCCACTCACTCATGTATGCATTGCACCGATTTCTTCATGCTGGCCAGCACTAGACCGCGCAGTTCCTTCTCTTTATCCGTTGCTTGCTATGGTGCGAAACTGTTGCGGAGTCGTTGTGGGTGATTCGTTTGCGCGGGTTGCCAAGGCACGTTTACGAAATTCGAACATTACGGATTGAAGTCGTTTCCGATGTAAGTCTGGTTGAGTTGCATTGAAGTCGTTTCCGATGCAAGTCTGGTTGAGTTGCAGGCGCAGGGCGCCCATTGGGTTTTCGTGGCTCTTGCTTAGGCTTGGCACTCGAGGACTGTCTTCGTTTTTCGGCCTGGGACCGTGCTCCTGCGAGAAACACAGGAAACACTTGCGATGAGACGTCGTCGTCTTCTTGCACTGTTTGAGCTTCGTAGCTGGCGTAGCTTCTGATCTACGCTCAATTACGTAGGCGGTCTCTCGCCAAGGGTGCTTCCAAACTACCTGAGAATGCGCGCAGCGACGGCACGCTGATCCGCTTCGAGCGGCAAGGAGACTTGGAGCTGCCCTTTTCTCCGCTGAACAACGCTGCAACACCAGAACCCACCTCCACCATCAACCCAAAAGCAACAGCAATGGTGGCAGGGCGGGGGCGGGGGGCGCCCCCCCCCCCCCCCCCCCCCCCCCCTCCCCACCCCTCCTGTGCCTGCATCCGCTCTATCTTTCTATCCGTCTCTTCTCTCTGTCTCTCGTCTCTCCTTGCCCGCAGCTCGAGTTGCCCAGGCTTTGGATCGCGTGCGGCTGGTTCGAGTGGCCGTGCAAGGGGCAGCTGATGCAGGCAGATTGACCAGCCCATGTGCGAATCTGTGATTAGTTTAAGATGTGCGATGTGGCACTCTCCACTTCGCTGACTCAACTTGCGCCGTACTGGGATCCAAGCGCTACACAAACAAGTCAGAGTGGAAGCCCAGGCGCCTCCCGATGTGCCCCTTGTCCAGCAGGGCATGAGGCGTGAGAGATCAGCTCCGTGGAAGTACATGTATACATACCGCGAAGATTTGATTCGCAACATTGCGCACGCAGTCAGACAAAGACCGTGGTGATGGTTGGTGCAGGTGGCAGGTACCAGCTGCCGCAGCTGTACTCCCGGCCACTTTCTCAGCAAGGCCACCTTTGCAGTTGGCAAGTAGCAGCACTCTTTCCATGCTGGAGAAGTACTGGACAAGTACGATTATGATCAAAATGGCTGCAACTGTAAGATATCTCGGCACGGTCACAGGATGCATGCATTGGCAGGCTGCCTCAAGCACTCGCTGCGTCGCATGTGGCCCAGGTGACACACTGACACTCCACAGTTGAAAAGAGAGTGTCGCCAGTGCAGCAACTACCCTTGACTAAGATGCGCAGGCAAGTTCACCGACACGTGGGCAGCTACGGATTGCCGCCTCTGCGGTCAAGGCCATTCTGCAAGCACTTCGCATACACTTTGAGGCGTTGACTGGAGATGCAGGTACTGCGAGTGCAGAGGGGGCAACAAGCTGCGATCCCAAGCCAGTGTTGCAAACGCGTGACTTTGCAGCAGCTGCGAAGGCAGGGACTGCACGTGTCTGCCAGTTCATGCATTCACGTGACCTGAGTGGCAGGTCCTTTCACCGCGTGCAGTGCGGGCCTTGAACTAAACTGAAGCATGTCGGTGCCAGCCACACTGCCAAGGTGGTCATCAATGCCACTTCTGCCATTCAGCCAGGAGCTTCTCATTTTTCGATGGCGCTGACAAGCTTGTCCTTCTGTACAAGTTTTAGGCAATGGCGGACAGCCACAAATGGCATTTCCGGGCCATTGTTGGTGGGTGGCCGCAAGTTCCACATCAATCTGCTCAGGCACACCTGCTAAGTTTGCGTCTTCACAATCCACTGCAGATTGATGCACAAAGTGCCGAATTACTAAATAAGGCTATGACTCTGGAAGAAATGAGCGGATGTGAGAAAAATCTTTCAATCTCCTGCAAACTTCGACAGACCAGCACCACCGCCCGGCGATGCGGGGGGGATGGCCTATGTTTGGGAGCAGGTGTCCAGACAGGAGCTGCTTGTAGCTGTGCCATGTGGGGGTTTACGAACCTAGGGGACCCCCAAAATAGACCCCAAATACTAGGATTCCCTTCTTATAAGGACCCCAATAAGGTAAGGTACCCCTAACATCGTAAACCCCCACATCTTGCTCTCAACTGCAATGCCCTCTTGGGCGCCCAATATACCGCATCTCGAGGACTGCGATCCGGCGAATCACGCTGGATCCAGCGTCGGCACGCCAAGCTATCTGGGTTAACCCAGCCGCAGAATCTTGTGGAGATCAAACCCCCTAACACCTAAACTCTAAACCCTAAACCCTAAACCCTAAACCCTAAACCCTAAACCCTAAACCCTAAACCCTAAACCCTAAACCCTAAACCTACCAAGGGTCTCAAGAGTCTCTCTTGCGTCCTTTGCTTAGCTTCCTCCCGCTTCGGAGGTAGGAGGCGGCGCAGCTTCCAGCCTGACGGCAGAAGCACCTCCTCCAGCTGTCGTGGCTGTGGGCATCGAGTTAGCCAGAGTCGAGGTCCGGCACATGCTGATTACTATTATTATTATTATTATTGTTATTATTATTATTCTTACTATTCTTATTCTGATTCTGATTCTTATTATTAGTAGTAGAATGATAGGTACAGGTACACGGGACTCCGTTATCTAAAAAGGGTGATGGCTGTTCGAGGCAGTGGCTCTGGGATCCCTTCGAGGAGTGCGCTTCACCTGGAAGAAGGCACCTGGACACAACGGTTCCCCAAAGCAACATATCGGGGGTATAGGGGGGTATAGAGGGGCGCGGTATAGGGGGGGCATAGGAGGGAGTATAGGAGAGGGGTATAGTTCTACAGAATCTGCAGCTTGAAGCGCGAGCCAGCATGGACGATCTTCCCGGTTTCAGCATGTTCCAGCCCTTTTCAGGATTTGAGCGCACAGCTTCAGCCGAAGCCAGCTGTGCTGTGCCCTGATGCAGCAACCATGCCAGCGGAGGCAGGAGCGCATTGAAGAGCATTGAAGAGCATTCGGGTCTTCGCAGACGCGAAAGAAGCAATCCCATCTCAGACTGCAGCTCCACCAGGCATTGTCGGGCATTTCACTCCTGCTTCGCTGCGACACAACGGCGCGAATACCTGCACCGGTGGCGCGGACCGATGCAACAGGATCTAGGGTTTAGGGTTTAGGGTTTAGGAGGATCTGTCAGCACCTTGCCGTCCTGAGATTCTGAGTGCTCGCCGTGCCGCGGTGTTTCCAGGAAATGTCCACTTGGAGCATTTACGTCTCGCAGGCGGGGAAGCATTGCAGAGAATTGGAATTGCAGGGCATCTCAAACGACTGCTTTCAGGACTCTAAACTTCCTAAACTTTAGACCCTAAACCCTAAACCCTAAACCTCCCCAAACCCTCCTGTCTTACAGACACTTGCACCGCTTCAGAGCTTGGCTGACAGAACGGTCCATCGGCGCCTTTGAGCCGATGGCCGTCTGTGGAGTGCTGGATCTGCAATGGCGAGGGCCTCTGGAGTAAACTAACTGAGTTGCTTCGCAGGGAAAGAGGGAGCTATAGGGAGCTATATATATACCCTTTAAGGGATTGTGTAGGGTACCTCACCCCCCCCCCATGCCCTACTAACCAACAGTAAGTTAGATCTTAAGTACGCTGCTGGACAGCTGGCGAGGTCTTGTGAACGGGAGTGTGAGCCGAGGCCGACTTTGATGGCCTGTCCACCCTGCCAAGCCCAAGACTTCGTCGGGGTCCCCAAGAGCGAGATGAATTTGAGATGTGGTGACTTCTATTAGAAGCGTCCTAGTGAGAGTTCGACGCGAGAACTCGGAGAAAGTGCAGGCAGCTCAGCCTGGCCAGTGTGACGAAGAGCAGATGCGCTTGGTCACCTTCAAGCTGATGAGGCCAGGGCTTTGTAGAGCCTGGTAGGTCTTCGAAGGCCCTTGTATGTCCGTATGCCGCTCCTTTTTGTTCGTTGATGGTGCGGTCTCCAGTTACCTGGCAGTCGCCTCTAAGGCCCTGCATCGGCGGGATGTCGGTGCCTCCGGGTTACAAGGATCAAGCTTTCCTGCAAGCCCGTGGTGAGTCCTGGATGGTTGTGCAGCATCTTGCCTGCCCCGGAAAGGAGAGCTGCGTGGGGGACGACGTGAGAAGCATCGTCAAGCACGTTGGCAAGGCAAGGCTTGGGGTGAAATCTAGGCTTGAAATGCGCTGGTATATGTATGTATACATGTATGTGCCATATATATATATATATACATGTATCGAATTGATAGAACTCCTGCGGGTTTCAGGCGGTCAAAGAAAAGTACCCCTTGCGAGCCGCCCTGATTTCCGTGGTCAGCACCTGAGCGTTGGAGATGGAGGGTTCCCCGTCACATGGGTGACTCTGGGCTGCCTGGGCTCACATTTGGTGCCTTAGCGCTTGGCGCTGGTAGGCTTCGGTGCTATTGGGCTGCACTCTGATCTGCTATGCGACTCATCTGCACAGGACCTGGGGCTGTTGCGAACAGCTGTGCCTCCCCACTAACGTTGACTACAGCTGTCGCAGTGAAAGATCCATGAGCTCAGTATCAGTTTCACTATCAAGCAAATGCTCAGCAAATCATTTCGTCGGAGGACCTATCGCCAGCAATACCTGCAAGATGGCGGCCTGTGAGGGGACAGCCCGAACATTGGAACATGACCAAAGCACGCAAATAACCTTTAAGCATGGGAGATTTGAGAAACACAACTCCGAAGCTGTACGGAAACTAGTGGTAATTAGCATGTAGAGAAGCAAGGCAGTGACCAGTATGTAACGGATTGCTGCAAGCGTGGTCCGTTGTGATGCTGCAGAAAGACCGGTGAGTGCGCGACATCGAGCAGGTAATGATAGGTAACGCTGAGCGCTATGATGTTAATTCTATGTTATGGAATGGAAAAGGGCCAGGTAAAAGGAAGCACCACGTTGACTGGCACTGAGTTCCAGTGCCGGCTGAAGGAAAAGAATCCCCTTGGCGGACGGAACCTCGAAGGAAGTGCAAGTGCGACTTCTGGCAGTTCACTGATGCAGAATTGCAGAAGCTTGCACTTTAAGTGTTTTTGACTTTGCTCCGGACAACACACCAGTCGACTGGCTTGCGTATAACTAATCGCTTGACATGGTTCATGCAAGACTCACAGATTGCTCGGCAGCATTGGCTGAGCCTTACAATGGCCTTACAGCGTGGAGCAGCTGAATCGCGGCATCCAGTTTAACCAGCTCCTGCATGCAACAACTACTTGCCGCAAATTGGGGTTTACGATATTAGGGGGTGCCTTTTTGGGGTCCTTATCATAAGGGGATCCTGCTACTTGGGGGGGTCTCTATTGGGGGGTCCCCCTATCATCGTAATTCCCCCAAATGGGTTGCGCCATTTCCTTCCTGACCCTGGCGCTTATCGCTGCCTCAGACGTGGAGTCCTTGGAGCCAAAGCGGGGCAAAGGCGGCAAAGGCGACATCTCGGCGCCGTCCAAGGCTGGGCCCCTACACTCCATGCGGGGGGGTCTCCGAACTTAGGGGTCACCCTTAAGCTGGGGTCCTGTTTAAAAAAATAGCTTCTGCTACTTGGGTGTCTATATAAGGAGTCCCCTACTTCTGGTAAACCCCCATATGCCAATGGTAGCCCAAGACCCTGGGTCAATGTTCCTAGAATTGGTCAGCTCCACCTTTGGGAAGCTTTGCTGTGGCAATGCTGTGGCCAGGCGGCGCCACCACCTCGCACCGATGTACACGAGTGGCAGTGGAAGGCAGATGTCGACGATTTGTCCCCCATCAGCCTAGGTCCCTAGGCGTCGCTAGGCTAGTCCGAGAGGACGCCGGACTGTAACAGAAGTCGAGATGGGCTCCCCATACCCACCAGAGCTCCCAAAATCTGCAAAAGCATCCGAAGTCCAAAGCCCAAAAGTCAGACCATAGGAGCAGTGCAAGTGGATGTGCTCTAAAGGTGCTCGCAGCAGTGCGAGCCGCGGAGTCGGATGAGGAAGCAGAGCGAGTGCTCTCTGAGCAGGTGCCTCTCGTATCCTGGATGCACCTCTCACTCTTCCCACATTGAGTGGTTCTTGATTGCGATGCCGTTTTTGATACTCCCTTCCCCCCTCCCCAGTGTGCCCCCGGAGCTCCTAACCCTGGTCGCATTTTCATTTTGCTCGTCGCGGCTGTTGGGGCGGCCCTATGCGGCACTCGTCCACTGTGAATCAGGCACTCTTAGTCTAGTCTCAGGACGGCGTCGAGAGCGCCCTCGCTGCAGATGGGGACATGCTTGTCGAGGTCGACAGACTCATACGCACCGACCTCAGGACACATTTCGCAACACGGTGTTTTTTTGCTAGTGCTGGCTGGAGCTTAAGCACGAGTCACTACTTTTGCCACAGCATGCTTTTGATTGTTTGAGGGGCAGCACGACCATACCCTACGCCTAGTTGCGGTGAGTAGATCCCTGTAATGGTGCACAAAAGTATGTGTATATAAAGATGTATACATATATACCCACATATGTATAAAAGTACACAAGTACAATATACATATATATATATATGTACACATATAATATATATTGTAGAAAGATTGGCAGGTCGAAGTTGGTGGCGAGCATCACGGGCAGCCATCCTCCGTGGAAGGAAGCATCGGCCTGGTCCTTGTGGCTTCCGTGTGTCTGAGTTCTTACCACTCATTTAGGTAGATTTTTAGGGGTTTAGGGTTTAGGGTTTTAGGGTCTTAGGGTTTTAGGGCTTTAGGGTTTTAGGGCTTTAGGGCTTTAGGGTTTTAGGGTTTTAGGGTTTTGGGGTTTTGGGGTGTTTAGGTAGGGTAGGGTTTTAGGCTTTAGGGTTTCAGGGTTTAGGGTAAATAAAGAGAGCCAAGAGCCAACATAAGACAAACGAAAGACAAACGAAGACAAACCGTCAGCTCTGAAATCCTTGTTATGTCAGCTGTCACTAGGCCAAATCTTCGGCAGACGCCACAACAAGCAGCAGAAAGCCCTACGGACAGTTCGAGCGGCGAGTGAAACTACCTACTTCAATAGGGCACGGATATGGGATGAATGACTCAAGCCCTGTGTTATCTGAGACTCATCAAAAGAAGTTAGGCTGTCTGCCTGACAGATGGTTCATGTTCTACTATGAGGCTTCAGTCGTCAACTAGCTGCTGCTTTGTGCAGAGCAGAATACAAACCAAGCAGTAAGCTTGTTTAGATGCTCATGACCAGTGTGTACAAAGAATGGTCGAAGTGTGTTAAGCCAGGCTCTGCATGGCAAGCCATTGCCGCAAATGTTCAACCTGCTTCAGGGACTAGCTAGACTTTCGCGGTGTCAACGGCTCATGTTGCCCTTCAGTTGCCGTCTTAACAGCTGTATAAGAGATTTTGCAGCAGAAAGGTTGGGGTCCGGAGAAGGCACGCTGGATTCAGGCCCAAAGTTCCCATGCTTTACCCGCAAAGCACTCGCATGGGGAGGCACGGCATCCTATCTTATGACCATTTGCCAGAGAGACCCAAAGCTGACGGGTGGGGAGCACACATGAGTCATGGTTTTGTTCTTCAAAACAAAGACGAGTTGTGAAGTTTCATTTTTATCGCTTTGAGCTTGGGTCGAGATCTGGTATCTAATGCAGCACATAGGCCCGCCGCGACCGTTTTATCTGAAACCCTGATCTTATACATCAAGATGTTCTGGCGCTTTTATCAGGCTAAAGTTTGATGACATGTCGGAATGTTAACGGACCTCCAGAAACACCTGTGTTCTCCATTGTTAATAAGGTTTTGAGTGGACCGAATGAATTCTCTTTCCGCCTCCTTCAAACCTATCTCAACACATACAAGTGAACGAAGTGAGCCCGTGATCTTTAAATTCGGGAACGTGAGGGAAAGGAAATGGACAAGGCATTGAAGCACTTTGAGACAGGGAATATGAATTAGCTTTTGAGCGCTGATGTAGATCAACAGCCAAATTCCGTAGCACGTGCGATTGACAACATGGGCCAGATTTATCAAGTAGCAAGCACAATCACACCAAAGACACCTTGCTTGAGGATGGACTTGACCGCGCCGGTGCGGCGCGGAGCCAGAGCCTTGTCGAGTAGAAAGTTCTGGTACCTGCTGGCTTGAAACGCGCTGGAACAGGGCAGCTGTGCAGAGTTGCTTTCCCCTGCGTTTGGCTCAAAAAAGTGCCAAAGACTAACATGACCCATGATGGTACACAGTAGTACACAGTCAAGGTGGCTCATGCCAAGCTGTCAAGTTGTACGGCTTTGGCTCAGTTGTGAAGCCCAGCTCCACTAGTCGACTTGTGTACCAAGAGGCTTGTCAGGTACTGCTGCTTGAGCATCAGAGAGCCCACAGGACTTTAAGGCTTAATGGCCATCTCTATGGCTCTAATCATGCAATGTCCCGAGCCCTCGAACCAGTGGCCATCACCTTGTTGCATCTGAGCTAAAAGCAGTTAAGTCTGAGAGGCATGCTTTGCACACACGCTGCTACACCCGCAGTGGAAGCTGCCATTCTTGAAAGTTGTCAGGAACTCCTGAGTTTCGTCCAGGAGTTGCTCCAACTTAGTGAGGCCGGGCCAATTTTTACGAAGAACGTGCGTGGAGAGACACTTCACACGATTCGCGTGTTGCCTTGTGGGTCCGAAAGGTTCCAGCTCAGCGGATTCGGCTCCTAGACAGCAGTCGCTCGACCAGTGCTGCTGAACAGCTTCGTGCCTTCGAATACGGCAGAGGGCCCAGATGAACAGAGTTGAAAACCGAATCGGCTCGAAGTTCCATCGAAGCTGAGGTGCTGAGAGTGGAGGTTGACGCAATGGGCGAGCTCGGCTTGCAGAGGGTTGGAGACAAGGACTGCAGCTTGTCAATTTTTTCGCATCAAGTTACATCCGCTGCTTGGGGCTCCGGAGGTCTGTGCAGATGCCTCCGACGGCCTGCAACGAAGCAGCAAGCTGGAAAGCTGAAGTTCAAGTAAGATGAGAGCTAAGATGAGTTTGGTGACCTGAAACAGCTTTTCTGCAACTTCTGCAACTTGCAAGGCAGTTCCTGCTTCATGAATTGCACTTTGTCGAGGAGCGTGGCCTGAGATTTTTCTCATGGTTTAGTCGACTGCCGCTGGCTCTGGTTAATGTTTTTACGACCACGACCACGACCCCAGTCCAATGCATGATTCAATACGAGGAGGTGCTGCGCAGCGCGGCACTCAAGCGCCGTCGCCTGCAGGCTTCTTCAGCCAAAAGTTGGAAAGAGTCTTGAGAACCTTGATGGGACAGCAAAGCTCTCCCCTTCCCACCTGAGACCGAAGGACCTTGTGGGTCAAGCGCAAGCGCAGCGCCTTGCTCGGTCCTTAGGGTCTTTCACTGACAGAGCCCTCCGATTTCTTTCCTGCTCTCTTCCGCAGTGGCTGATGTAGCGGATGTATCTCATGCATTGAAGCAAGTGCCTTCGTATCGTGGTTGCTGGAGGCAGCGGTCAGAGCGTGCCCTGAGGTCTTTCGCACAGAGCTTCCCATCCATATTCGCCACTCGGTGCCTTCAGTCGGCTGGTTCCTTTTTGCATATATAAAACTTCGCGAGGCGAATAGGCGTATCATGTGTAGGCTCTTTCAAAGACAGCATGGCTTTGATCAGCAAAGTCCCATCAAGGACAAAAGATCTTTGAGTGCTTGCTTGTGAAGGAGACGGTTAGGTTGCCAAACGTCGCCTGGCATTGCGTTCTCTGCCGATCTCTGCCCATCATGCTCTGGCTCACCTTTTCCTCACTAAGGTTTGTCGAAGCTTTCTGGCCTTCTGCACCTCGGAAGGTCGGACTCAACAACTCAATGGGTGTCAATCTATGCCAATGTCACTGCTCGCTGGGAATTCCCTCAGGGCGCCGAGTCATCCCAGTCATCAACGACCGGGCCCTTCAGGGCGGTCCGAAGGCTGCCCGTCGCCTGGCGCGCCTCGTGCACCCCTCCTTCATCTACATGGACCCTTGGGAGCAGAATGTAGAGCATCGATGTCACGCATCGCTCAACGCCCCTGTTCCGAAAGTCCTGCTACTTTTAAGTGCGAGAGCCCCTTTGCAGTTTGAGGTTGCGGTGAAGGAGCAAGGCGAGGCAGCCTGCAGCTTCCTGGAAGCCATCCTCGGCGAGTGCTTCTTCGAGTTCAACAGCCTGACGCGGATCATGGTCAAGAATGCCCGCTTCGTCTCCGTGTCTCGACCTGGACATGCCATGCTGTTGGCACCTTTTTTGGGTGCATCCCAGCTTCCGCAGGCAACGCTCCTCATCCGATTGCTCAAGAGGGCAGCCAAGCTCAATGAGGCGCCGCAGGAATCAGCTCGTACTAGGGTACCAAGTGCCCTCGGGCCCTGAGATCCTTGCAGCACACCTGACTAACAGGTGAAGATCCTCACGCGGCTCGATCGGCCGTTGCCGGCGGAGTGCCTGCGGAGCGTGGAAAGCCTCTCTGCTCTGGTGGGATTGTAAGAGGGTTCAAGCACTGAAGACGGATTCCGCAGCATGTAGTATGCAGATTATGCGGCAGTACGGCAGCATCCTTTCATCTGGGGGCAACGGCAGGTGCTTCACTCCACTGAAGTGCTGGGTTTCTCATCGTTGTTCACAGCAGGGCCTTTGGCAGCCGCGTGATGCGTTTAAAGCGATGGGGGCTTCAATCCGTTTCAGCCCTGTGACGGAGTGCCTGGGCTTGTGTTGCCTTCTGATCCCGCTCCTGAGGCCTTGAGGTTTGTCCAGATTGTGGACAGCCCTCACTTGAACTTTGACACGCTCCTGGGCACCTTCACAAGTCCGTGTCCAACCGGTGTCCATGTGCAGCATCTTCAGGCCGGTCACAGAGACATGCAAGAGCTTGCGCAATGGCACCTTGCATTAGAACGCATCCAATGTGCACATACACTGCAATACACTGCACCTACATCGAGCATACTGCGAAGGTTTCTCCCAGCAGTGATGAGCCGCAAGACCGGCACTGGAGCCAGTGGGTTCAGCCCTTGGCGGATCTCTTGCAAAGCGGCTCGGTGCTAGAATACAGACACCGTTCTTGACACAAAGAGAGAGGTACAGGCCGGCCCCCCGCTCTCTTTTTGAGATCTCTCTTGAAGTCTTTAGGCCCTGCCATGGCTGCCTTGGTGCAGCTGGATGTTCCCGTCCCATCCTACTCGGTGACAGCGGCAGAGACCGCCAGGGCTTTGCTGGAGCGCCTACAAGGGCGGCGCCTACCGCGGGACCTTGCCAGGCTCCGCTTCCTCCCCTACCAGAAGAAGTGTCCCCTGGCAAAAGAATCCACCTCCCTCTACTCCGAAAGCAAAATGACTGTTCAAGCAGATTAAGAGTAGATTAAGGTGATGCCTTCGTCTTTCGGCGACATGGTCCGATGGAAACTGTGATGGAGATCCAGGAGATTCTTGGCCAGTACAAGCAAGCCTGGCCATGGCTAGAGGTCCGATTCCCTGGTGTGGATGGACCCCCAGAAGACGTGGACTAAAACGACTCCGAGTACCTGCTGAGCTCACGGCTTGGTCATGCTTGGTCCTCATCGAGCCCTCCGTTGTTCTCATCTTGGCGCTAGCATCGAGGTCACAGCTACCCTTTGAAGTGCATGTACAGACGGAAGCTGAGTGCAAACTGGGTGTGTCCGAGTGCATCCCTCTGCCTCCAGAAAGTGTGCGCCGCGTGCCCATGGATAGAGATCTGCCTTTGGCAACGCATTCCAGAGTTCCAGAGCTCTGACTGACTTATGCAGTAATGCAGTAAGGTGGCCGAGTTGAAGCAAGAGGCTGAGGCACATGCCCTGACCTGGATAGGATCCCCTGGTGCAAGTTGGATGCAAGCAGGAGCTGGTGCGATGGTTGGATCCCGCCTATGCCCACCCTGAGTCGACGCCCATGGCTCTTCAGTGGGCCGATCCCTGAAGAAGTCTGGACTCGCTTCTTGCATCTGCACTTGCAGTCGCTGTGATGTGCGATGTCACAGCTGGGGCGGTCAGCCGGGGTTCTCTGCCGTAGGCTCAAAACTCCTCGGCAGCGTGCCCAGCAAAGCAACTCAAACCATGAGCTGCAGCGTCGTCCTTGCACCGTCTCCATGAGTTGAGGGAGTTGAAGGCATCCTGGAGCAGAGGCCGTGATGTTGGCGGCTCGCTTTGCTCATAAATGGGAGGCCTGGCTGTTTTCAGCACGATGCACTGGGACATGGGTTTTGCAGCTGAAGCGGTAGACTTGCTCTGTCCAGGCACCAGGGGCAAACCTGGCAGTGTACTCCACAGAGAAAGGTCAGGGGCACGTCAACAAGGACCGGAACACAGCAAACGAATGCAAACGATGTAGACATAATGTAGACCCTATAGAATCTGGGACTTAGGTGATTGAAACTTCAAGTGTGTTGCCATGGGCACGCCAATCCCCCCTCGCACAAAGAGGAGCGCGCTGTGTCCCCCCAGTGCTCCCAGCCCTCAGTACTGCCCCCACACCAAAGAAATACTGATGCCCCCAAACAAGAAGGGCAAGCCAAGCATGATCAACGGATTTTGATACAAAAGCAAATACTTTGGGCCACCCTTGCCAAACTGCCAAGAAGTGGGCATCATCCTCACACCTGCGGCTCCGCAAGGTGTCCATGATGCTCGCCTTTAGAGCCTTCTACGGCGAGCAGGGGTGAGCATCACGGACACGCAGTTTCTCCTCATTTTTTCGGGGTGCTTTAGTGGGGTCCCGGATATTCATGGCAGAAGAGCGGGCTCCAGCCACCACGCAGGCCGGCCCTGCTTTTCCCAGGCTGCTGGACCATTCAGCATCATTTGGGATGGGGTGACCGAGTCTGTCCCCTGCCGGCCGGCCGAGGCTCGCCCCAGAAGGCTCTAAGGGCGAGCATCATCGACGTCTCGCCGAGCCACAGGTGTGGAAGTTAAGCTTTCGGCATGAGGTTCGAGCCGTCAAGCGGTAGAAAACGTTTAAAAAAAAACACCACAACAACGCTTTGCGGGGTTTTGCCCTCTTGGGCTCGCCGCCCAAACCGACCCGGGCGATGCGCACAGGTGCTCGTGATGCCTTTGTGGGGTCTTAGCGCCTGACAACGCCGTTACAAAGGATTGGGATTGGGAAGGGTCCACTGAGCCTGAGGGCCATAGGGGTGGACGAGGGGGGCCTGCTGCATCGGGTAAGATCATGGCTTCTTTAGTCGGGGATGTCAAACAGCTTCCTGTCGCATAGTGGATGACAGGACCGTACCGCCGAGTCGGTTCGGCGTCTGCTGCGTGTCAACATCTCTGCGTCTCGCATCGAGGCTGAGATACTGGCCAAGGCCTGATTCAGCTTTCGTGGCACATTAAAGGACCAGACTCTGCTAGAACAACATTATGCAGCTGTCACATGTAGTCTCATGATCGGAACTGGTCTGCAAATTGCTGGGGATGGAGCTTGGTTCGGATACTTGATCTTGGGGCTGCAAGAATTTCTAAGCTGAGGTCGTGCGAGATGCTGTGTTTATGGCGTTTCTGAGCACTGGTTCACTTCCCAAGCAGCCCCGAGCAACCCCGTGCCCCACACCTCATCACCCTCTCATGTAATCCGGCACGGAAGTCAAGGCGTATTATGGCGGCGCAGTATGAGAAGTCGGGGACAACCAAACATGAAATGTCAGCTCCCTCTGCCCCCGTGCACATCTACAGACATAGCTTCCAAGCTCAGCGTTAAAAGCCTTCTGCCGGCACTCCGGAAATGTCACAAGTTCGCGGTGTCTTGTGTTGAGGTGCAGAACAGCCGGAAGCGCTTCACATTGGACTTGAAGCTCTTCGACGAGACCATCCCCCATGCTTCAGGATCGCAGAAAGCATATACGAACATAATAATCTAAGGCTATATAAGGCAGTAACAACCAACATAGCTTCTATGTGCATATATATTAGAAATAACAGCTATGAGAAATGAGAGGATCCCACAGCGGTAGCGAAGAGGGGACAAAAACTCAACCAACCAGGCCATGGCCAAACAGGCCAGATTCATGTAGAGGCTGCTTCTCGTATGCCCGTTTGTGGCAGGCTGGACTGTGGAGTTTCGAAAAGCGCGGCTTGTCACGCTTAGAAAATTGGCGTTGGTTTGGAGTATGTTGCGAAATGCAAGCTTCTGCCCTTCTTTGCTAGTTGAGCGACAGTTTCTGAGACTACATCAGACATCAGGCGAGGAAGCATGCAGATGAGCCGGGGTGCAGAAATTCCTGAGCTCCACTTCCATGCGCCTGGGCAGGAGAGATTGGGTATGAAGCTGGGCTTGCCATTCATGATGTGACCGTGTTCACATTTCCCGTGCCTAAGATGCGGAAGCGCTGGCCCTCTCCGGACCACGCCTGGCAGCTCTGCTTGCACCACTGCAATGCAGCTGTCTAATTCGCCTTATGGCCAGCATAGAAAGAAACTTGTCTCTAGTGACACTACCGTGATGAAGTTTCATCCTCCCATACATAAAGTCATTCAATGCCTGCATTTACAGCGTTGCCAGAGTCATCGCAAGCCCTCCAGAAGTGGCACCAGCCCAGGCCGCGCCTTTCCGAAAGCGAAGCCGAGGTTGGGGGACGCGCGAGATTTCGAGAGTTGATGCATGAGGTTTCCTAAGGGAATTAAGGGCAAACAGGAGTGTTTCATGGTTTGGGGTGCCAGGGCGGACTACTTTTCTTAGTTGCTCTCGTCGCCACACCTGAAAGTCATGGTTGGTTTTGATTGAGGCAACACCAGGTAGCACACCACCACTTGCTGCATGTTGTTTCTACTCACGACACCGATTTTCCACCGACTTGCCCTTGGTTTCTTCTGCACTGGGACGGGTTCCATGGGGGCGAAGGGGCATGGGATGTTCGGCCCCCGATATTCAAGGACATCTTTATGTTCCCATGGGCCTGAGGCTCCCCCGGCCCGCCCGGCCCCCCGGCACTTGAACACATGGCATCCAATAATGTTCAACGTAAACTTCACCACTCTTTTGGGTTCTGGGGCAAGGCTGACCCCTCGCTGTCAGCCTTGAAAATCGGCGCGCCAGGCATGGATGCTCATGGGCGAGACACCGCTCGGGCCCAAGCCAGGCCAAGTCGGTGACGTTGAAAGTAGCCCGCGGAGCCCCTCATGGACTGAGCCCCTGATGTCAGTCCATGAGTTTTCGGTGCTTCGCTCGGCTGCTTTGCCGTCTTCGCTTCTTCACACAGAACGCTTGAAGAGAAACCTTTCCATTTCTGAAGCGCCGCTTTCGCAAGGTTCAGCGGCCCAACGCTGAAGGAGAGCGGGCTGACTTGCCAGCAGCAGAGCAGCAAGAGCCTTACATCAAAGAGATCGGGGGTTGACTGTGCACAAATTCGTGTGTTTTGAGAGCTGGCTGAGTCGCTACCTTTTATTGTCTGGCTGATAGTTCTTCTTCCCCATGCTTGACTTAGTACAGGCAGTTCAAGCCAAGACTTTCAGGTTCGAAGCTTCAGGCTTAAGGGTTTGCGCCGCAATGAGACTCTGAGAGACCCTTTCGAGAAGAACGAATTGCATGAGCTTTTTTTTCGTTGAGAAGCCCTGGCTTGCATGGAAATAGAAGGAGACACGCGCTGTTCATCCTTAGGCTTAAGAATGAACAAGAGAGGGACTATGACTTACTAGAGGGTCCATCCCGCATGCGGATACTTCAGGAGTTTGATCTTCCATGTTCGTGAGATTTTTTTGCGATGTCTAGACTCATGCCGGGGCAAGGCCTGTATTGCCCATCAAGCGATTCCTGCACATCCTCGTGCAGCGACTGCCAGGCTCAACATGTTAACTTGTTGACTAGCTAAAGTGTCACCACCAGTGCCGTTGCAACCATGTCTGTGGGTCTGAAGCTGCCTTAGCCCTCCTATCGTGTTTGCTCGCAGCTGCACAGAGCGCGCGTTTGCTGAGGCTTTCAACGAAGCTGGCGAGAGTCGCTGTCGTGCGACGCTGGCCGAGCAGCTCCAGGCGCGGCGCCCGTCGCGGCAGGTTTGAAACTTAAGAATCCTAAGAGCCCAAGAAAACTAGTACCCTCCTCTTTCTTTCCATTCGCGCCACACACGTGACACCACAGTATACTGCAGCCTCTTAGCTGCATGATGTTGGCCTGGGGGAATGGTCCAGCTTTGCACGACGGTCATGAGGAAGCGAGCTAATTCCCGTTGCACCTTGCCATCCAGCATTCAGGCAGCCATTGGAAGCCCATCCAATATGACCAAGCTTTCACTGTTTGACCAACGACCTGAGTCCTTGTGGGCTTAGATCGCTGGGTGGGCTCTTGCGAGTTGCATGCAACATGCAGCAGAGGCAGCTGCCGCCCACGACGAGTTGCGGGGAGACTTCATTGACGAGGAACGCCGCGTGCAGCATTTAGGAACTCAGATCCCAGTACTGCTGCTCTTCCGGTGCTCACTCGCAGGATTTACAACCTCACAAGCTTGGCGGTCACTTCCAATGGAGACATCGGCCCGAGCTACTAGCAGCAGAGGCAACAGCCCGTACATGCAGCAGATCGGGGCGTGTGATGTTCTTGTGGTCGAGGGCGCCCTTTTCCGTAATGAAGTGAACGAAGCATCTCAGCAAGCGAGGCCTTTGCGCTTTGCTGGGCGCGGCCTGCAAATTCCGCAAAGGACCGAAAAGACGTTGCCGAACAGTTTACCCAGCGGACGAACGGACAGCCACCTGCCAGTGATGCGCAACACGCCAGCGGTGAGGATTCTTGGAAGCATCCAGACACGCATCTTGTGGCGCCGGGCACCTCAAACTTGAGAGTTGCCAAGGTCCTCAATTCTTGCGCATTCAAACGCTGTGTTCTTTCATGTTCTTTTCAGATCCGTTCTGCTGTTGCCGGCGCATTGCCCAGCGCCTGCACTCTCTACTACGCTGAGGTGGGAAGTGCAAGACTCGCACCCCTACCCTCGCCTGCAGGTCCCGCCCGGAGCCAAGGGTTGGCTCTCTGCTCTCTGCGATGTCTCAAAGCCCCTCGCAGTTGCATCTTGCATCTTGCATCTCCAAATTCTGCACTCAGGAACGGAACCCAGCATCGAGCGGGTGCCACCCACCTCGTCCTGGTCAGCCTTGAGAGCTTGGATTGGGACATACCAGGCAGACTTTCGGAACGCCTCATTTTTGACGTCAGGTTGCCTTGCCCAAAGTTCCGGCAGAGGAGGCGGAGCCAACGCACTACTCCAGCAATCTCCGACTTGCTGGGAATTTCTGTGATTTGGAAGGATCTGGACGGCAGCCTCTGCTCCGCTGGCATACCCGTGCTGCGCACAGAATGGTTCGGGATCACTAGCTAGCCTGCGTTAGATCACAGTTCGCTAAGCCTAGGCGCTTCTGTTGAGCACGTCTTTGTTTGTAGAAAGCCTTTTTTCGTCCCCCCAAAACCTGCACGCCTCCAGATTACAATCGTGCCCTTCGTTTCGGCATGGTGTCGGCTTCATTCAGTTGGGGAACTATTGTTTACAGTGGCTGAACTTCCAGTTAACGTCAGATACTTTCAGTCAAGAAGCCGAAGTTTTGGGAAACGCTTGTCTGCAGACAGCTGGGGCTTCTCACAGAGCATCATGACCATCAACTGCAAAAACAACATCTGGGGCGAACATCAGGAGCATCAGCTGCAAAGGGCATTTGGGGTAGCCGCAAGCGAGCATCATGAGCATCACGGCCAGCCGGAGAGGAGGGCATGAGCATCAGACATCATGAGCACAGGCACGTGGGACTAGGCAGCTGCAGACGAGCATCGTCAGGGTTAGTCTCTTCGCAGAGATGGCCCCCAAGGCCCCATTGGGAGTCTTGCATCATAATTTATCTGGCATCCGCATTCCCCTGTAGGTGTCGAAAAATCAGCTGAAGAAGGCCCGAATGGATCCGAACAGGGCAGCGAACTCCGTTGTTACAGCCTTCAGCTTTGAGTCAGCTACTCAGCCTTCATGAGCTTATCGTGAGCTTAGAGCCTAGATTTCTTCGAGCCTCTCAATTTTTCAGGACACGTGGCCTCGACCCGGTGGTCTACGAACACTTGAGGGTGCGGCTGGGTTTTCTGGTTTCGGAAACCCCGATCCTGGTCGCACGCCCGGGCAAGCCTCTGGGGACGAGTATAACGGTCCGCATTCACGGCCAAGAATGGGACCGGCAGGCATTCGTCGGGGAGTACTCCCACGATTGTAAGCCCTGCATAAGCGAAGCGGGGCCTTTGCAGACATTTCTTCGCAAGCTCCAGCCCAAAGAGGCTTGGCAGCACGTACACCTATGGGAGATCCGCCTGCGCTAAAACAACGACCGGTGCCTGCTTCGTTTGCTCATGACATGTCAGCCTGCAGTGAGCATCGCATCAGGTTTTTTCTGGGGTCGATGTTGTTGAAACCGAAGCTTCAGGCTCGAGTATCCGACCCCGTCACTTCGCCCCGCCCTTAGCGAAAATCCTCTCGAAAATCGACCTCGGTCAGGTCCCGGGGCCGTGACGAGGGCTCCTCCCCGCGGATCGATGAGGCGAAAAGGCAGGCTTTTTGGAGGGTTTCGAATTCGCCGAAGAGGTTTCTTTCGAAAATCGACCTCCGGGAGGTATCCGGGCCCGTCACCCTGGAGAGACCCGAGCGAAATCATTGGCCCGGGCCGAAAAGACAGGCGGGGGGGGGGGGCCTTTCGACGGGCTGGAATCCGGCTCGACTGGAAATCGAGCTCTTCGAGTGTCCGGCCCCGTCACTTCGCCCCGCCCTTAGCGAAAATCCTTTCGAAAATCGACCTCGGTCGGGTCGGGGCGGTGATGAGGGCTTCTCCCCGCGGATCGATGAGGCGAAAAGGCAGGCTTTTTGGAGGGTTTTCGAATTCGCCGAAGAGGTTTCTTTCGAAAAACAACCTCCGGGAGGTATCCGGGCCCGTCACCCTGGAGAGACCCGAGCGAAAACATTGGCCCGGGCCGAAAAGACAGGCGGGGGGGGGCCCCTTTCGACGGGCTGGAATCCGGTTCGACTGGAAATCGGGCTCCTCGAGTATCCGGCCCCGTCACTTCGCCCCGCCCTTAGCGAAAATTCTCTCGAAAATCGACCTCGGTCAGGTCCCCGGGGCGGCGATGAGGGCTCCTCCCCGCGGATCGATGAGGCGAAAAGCAGGCTTTTTGGAGGGTTTTCGAATTCGCCGAAGAGGTTTTTTTCGAAAAACGACGTCCGGGAGGTATCCGGACCCGTCGCTTCGGCCGAAAGACAGGCGGGGGGGGGGCTTTTCGATGGGCTGGAATCCGGCTCGACTCGAAATCGAGCTCCTCGAGTATCCGGCCCCGTCACTTCGCCCCGCCCTTAGCGAAAATCCTCTCGAAAATGGACCTCGGTCGGGTCCCCGGGGCCGGGATGAGGGCTCCTCCCCGCGGGCCGATGAGGCGAAAAGGCAGGCTTTTTGGAGGGTTTTCGAATTCGCCGAAGAGGTTTCTTTCGAAAAACGACTTCCGGGAGGTATCCGGGCCCGTCACCCTGGAGAGACCCGAGCGAAAACATTGGCCCGGGCCGAAAAGACAGGCGGGGGGGGGGCCCCTTTCCACGGGCTGGAATCCGGCTCGACTGGAAATCGAACTTTTCGAGTATCCGGCCCCGTCACTTCGCCCCGCCCTTAGCGAAAATCCTCTCGAAAATCGTCCTCGGTCAGGTCCCCGGGGCGGCGATGAGGGCTCCTCCCCGCGGATCGATGAGGCGAAAAGGCAGGCTTTTTGGAGGGTTTTCGAATTCACCGAAGAGGTTTCTTTCGAAAAACGACCTCCGGGAGGTATCTCTGGAGAGACCCGAGCGAAAACATTGGCCCGGGCCGAAAAGACAGGCGGGGGGGGGGTCTTTTCGACGGGCTGGAATCCGGCTCGACCGGAAATGGAGCTCTTCGAGTATCTGGCCCCGTCACTTCGCCCCGCCCTTAGCGAAAATCCTCTCGAAAATCGTCCTCGGTCAGGTCCCCGGGGCGGCGATGAGGGCTCCTCCCCGCGGATCGATGAGGCGAAAAGGCAGGCTTTTTGGAGGGTTTTCGAATTCACCGAAGAGGTTTCTTTCGAAAAACGACCTCCGGGAGGTATCTCTGGAGAGACCCGAGCGAAAACATTGGCCCGGGCCGAAAAGACAGGCGGGGGGGGGGTCTTTTCGACGGGCTGGAATCCGGCTCGACCGGAAATGGAGCTCTTCGAGTATCTGGCCCCGTCACTTCGCCCCGCCCTTAGCGAAAATCCTCTCGAAAATCGTCCTCGGTCAGGTCCCCGGGGCGGCGATGAGGGCTCCTCCCCGCGGATCGATGAGGCGAAAAGGCAGGCTTTTTGGAGGGTTTTCGAATTCGCCGAAGAGGTTTCTTTCGAAAAACGACCTCCGGGAGGTATCCGGGCCCGTCAGCCTGGAGAGACCCGAGCGAAAACATTGGCGCGGGGCCGAAAAGACAGGCGGGGGGGGGGCCCTTTCGACGGCTCGACCGGAAATCGAGCTCTTCGAGTATCCGGCCCCGTCACTTCGCCCCGCCCTTAGCGAAAATCCTCTCGAAAATCGACCTCGGTCAGGTCCCCGGGGCGGCGATGAGGGCTCCTCCCGGATCGATGAGGCGAAAAGGCAGGCTTTTTGGAGGGTTTTCGAATTCGCCGAAGAGGTTTCTTTCGAAAAACGACCTCCGGAAGGTATCCGGACCCGTCACCCTGGAGAGACCCGAGCGAAAACATTGGCCCGGGGCGAAAAGACAGGCGGGGGGGGGGGGCCTTTCGATGGGCTGGAATCCGGCTCAACCGGAAATCGAGCTCTTCGAGTATCCGGCCCCGTCACTTCGCCCCGCCCTTAGCGAAAATCCTCTCGAAAATCGACCTCGGTCGGGTCCCCGGGGCCGGGATGACGGCTCCTCCCCGCGGGCCGATGAAGCGAAAAGGCAGGCTTTTTGGAGGGTTTTCGAATTCGCCGAAGGGTTTTTTTTCCGGAAAGCGGCTTCTGGGGGGTATCCGGGCCCATCACCCTGGAGAAACCTTGGCGAAAAAAATCGACCCGGGGCGAAAAGGCAGGCTTTTGGGGATGTTTTGGAAGGGTCGGGATTTCGGTCCGATCGAAACTGTGTGCAGCGGATCCCCGGGTCCGGGATGTTACGTGACAGATTGGAGCGTTGGAGCGCGGTCTGCGTCACGTTCCCGTCGGCCGTGGTCGGCACCGATTTTCGATGACGGACCCGGCATTTCGACTTTCGCGCGTGACGGAAACCCAGCAAAAACACCTGCATTTCGAGCTTTCGGTTTTTCCGGAAAACGCGATTTTATTGAAAACTGATCGTTTTTTTTTTTGGGGGGGGCGGCCCGTTAATTGGACACGGTGCAGAATCACTGCTTCGTCACTCGTTTTCGGGTTTTCCGGTTTTCGGATTCGATGAAAAACACCTGCGTTTTGCTTGATCGGGAGCCCCCCGAAATCTGAAATCATTGGTTTTGAAATTGGAGCACGTCTTTGGTTGCGCGCGTGCGGGCGGGCGCCTGCCGGCATGCTCAGTTGGAAGTTTGGTTTAAGGATTCCTGGAAGTGATACCTGACCAATCTCTACCTGCAAGAAAGGCAGCTTCAAGTGACGCACCTTTCCTAACCCCAGAGACAGGCCGACTTCCTCACACTCTAGTTGCGGGTGTGTGTGCTCACCGGGGGCGGGCGTCTTCCTCAGCCTTGAATCCGAACGCTTCGTGCTACTAGGATGGCATCGACTTAACCAATTGGTTTCGTCTGGGAAGGCAGGCGGCGAGTTCTGAGGGGCTCGGCTCCGTCGTGTTTAGAGATCTCAAACAGGTTCCTATTTCGGGACTCCGAGCCAAGCTGAAAGCAGCCTGATTTCAGATCCGAAACCGAAGGCTTCATTTGGACCTCAGCCTCGTTTTCAGAGCTCAAACTGGATTCTCATTTGAGGCCATCGACTAGATCGTAGATGAGACCCGCCTTCAGGCCCAGAAACGCGACTCGTGTCAGCTCAGCTGTCACCTCATCAGGCCGCGCTTTGCGCGACACGGCAAATTTTTCTTCGGCGTGCGCTGCGTTACTGACGTGGCAATCGCTTCAATTTCTGCGGTGTGCGCTGCGTTACTGACGTGGCAATCACCACCCCCCTGATGTGTGCGCTTCGTCAACTGACGTGGCAATCACTTCTCGCTGACGCCGTGCCAGTGCCGTATATGAGACAGTCGCCGGGTTCACTTTTTTCGGAGACCTTCGTGTCGCAATCGAAATCAAGGTTCCGATTTAGCTCTCAGTTTATCGCCCTCCCGAGCCCGAACCTTAACGCCGCTGGAGGACAGGGATTGGATTTCAGGCATTGAACGTGCGTAGGATCGTGAGTGCAGTCCGAGCTTGATCCGCCAGAGTCTGTCATGCAGTTGCTTTGATTGGTTCGAGCCATCGTTTTATTCGTCCTTCGCTTCGTTCGTCGCCCGCCATGTCCTCCATTTACGAGGTCGGAGGGGCACCTCTCGGTTCTGTCGTAAAGCGTCGTGCATGCTTCCGGCCAGGTGATCCGTGCCGGCTCCGTGCGCGTGGATGGGGCAGCCGACCTGCTCGAAGAGTGCCAGAACAAAGGCCGGGTTTCGTTCGAGTTCGGAATGGATCCGTAGGAATTTCTTGTGCAGGTTCGGCGCACTACGGTGACGGGTACCACCTCAATTCCCGGTCATTGCCCGACTTGTACGCACACCTTGCCCCATACCTGCAGGACTGATTCCGACTTACTTTTTTTTTTCCGTGTTTGCTTCCCCGACAGGATGCTGCCGTTATTACCTCCGACTCGTGCCTCTGCTACGCGGAGAACGGCTGGAAGGACCTTCGAACCTGGTATTCACGTGTAGGGTTGCCGGATGACTTCGCCTGTCAGGACAAGCAGGGCAGCATCGCAAAGACGATGCTTGCCCCTGCGCATGTCGAGCCGCAATGGGGCACGGGTCTTAGGGGCATGGTCGAGGGCTTGGAGGCGGTGACCCTCCAGCCAGCCGCGGGGCGTGGGACGTTGGTGGTCGTTTGTTCAGGCTGGAGCGGTTATCTTGTCTTGTGCGCGAGCTCGTCCGATAGCTGATCCTGTCAGGCAACGACCTATACAGCCACCGCTGGCAGTGGTGGTGGCAGGTCAGGGACGCCATGAACGACCTGGCCAAGGCACCGACATGCGGCATGGATCGTGTCATCTGAATTCGTGTACGCATGCCCCGCAGATTGCCGCCAAGCACGGGCTGAAGCTCCTCATCCTCGATGTTTGTCCCAATGTGGACATCCAGCAGGTCTGGCTTCTTTTCGGCGGAGGCCAGCATGTCGAGCTCGTTTGCCAAACAGGAAGGCAGCAAGAAGCAGCCAGTCGCGAGAATCATGACTGCTGCAAAAAAACCAAAAGGCATGTGGGACTTTGGAGCTGGGAAGCCGGAGGCGAGCATCATGAGCATCAGCTGCAAAAGGCAGCGGTAGGCAGCTGGAGGCCATCGGAGCAGTGCGCTAAGGCTGCAGCTGCGCATGTGCCCGCATCTCAGCATCTGAGCAGCCAATGAAGTTTACGCGACACAGAGTTGAACACGACTCGCGAAGAATGTCCGCTGAGGACAGACCGTTGGCGACCAGTGGTAGAGGAGATGTCCCTGGTTTTTGAGGAGATGCTGTGGTCAATATGCCTCATTCCCATGCAGACGTCTCGGGCAGCTTCGCTTTTGTGTTTGCATACAATGCAAGGACACAGATCCTCGTCCAGCCCCGAACTCAGAAGCACCAGTCAACTGCGGATCTTGCTCTCACGGTATTGCGAGTCCTGTGGTGCGGCCCAGATGTTCCTTTCGGGCTCAGCGAAGATGACGCGCATCAGTTCCAAGGCCATCCAGTTGTCCTTAGCAGACAGTAGACCAGGGAGCACGCGCAAGGTGTTGCTGTTGATTGCACTGGGAAAGTGGGAGAGGCCACGGAGCCAGCAGCTCCCGCGCTGTCTTTTGAACTTCGGTGGGGCCGCCGGCAAGCTCGGAATGCTTACTATCATGGAGCATGTCCTGAATGATCAGGCAGGCGATTTGCCAAGGTCAGCAAAAGGGATGGTGGCCTGTGGGTGATGACAATTCGTCACTCATAGCCGTCGACTCAGCACTGGTCGTTACTCAATGTGAGTTCCAGCATTTGCATGTTGAACTGTTGAACCTAGCACATGTCTAGGCCAAAGCTGCCGCTAACGAGCATGGAGTTGCGATGGAGGCACAACGCAGCAGTGGAAAGCATGTGGGACTGGCAGCCATACCACTTGTATTGGCACCCGATAACAGCTGTAGCAGTGACGCAGTCGCTTTGTGGGACGCCCCTTGAAAACCATGCGGCACGGCAAATGTAGTTTGTGCAGCGCCGGCCTGTCGAGGTTAGGGACACCTCTTCGGATGCAAGTGTGGTGGCCTTTGAAAGGAACGTGCATACTTGAGATGATGCAGCTGCTGTGCAGTCTTAAGTGCAGTTCCGCAGCCAACAAGCCAGCCAGCCCACCGGTTGATGACGACGTAGAACGTAGAACTGACGCTCGCATGGCGAGGAGGGCCAAAGCGCCCACCCCAGAATGTGAGATGAATGTAGAGATGAAGGCCAAGAAAATTCTGAGTCGAATACGAGACTCCATGACTCTTGCCTCAAACTCTGTCCCTTCGGTTCATGTGTCGCGTCACGTTCGCATCATGGAAGAACACTTTTCTGTTGCGTGGCGATCCTCCTTTTTCCCAAAACCTTATCGAATCCCCACAGCGCGGGCTGCTTGTTCAGGAAAAGCGTGAGCCTGACGACCGCGGAGCTCTTCTCCCACCTGGATTTTGACCGCGATGGCGTGCGAAGCTCAGAAGTTTCAAGGCGTTTGCTCTGTAAACCAGCTTCCTTTGCTTCGTCTACGGCTTCCAGCATCTAACGGGGGTTGTTTCCCACAGCCGCTACAGCCGGCTACGCCCCAGAGCAGACAAGGAAGGACTTAGGTATGGGTGCAAAGCGGAGGGTCGTTTCTTCTCGGGGGTTGGGGTATACAGGAAACAAAAGCAAAGAGAAAAGAAAAGCAACAAGAACGACAGACAGCAGCAAGAGCAGCAGCCGCAGCCGCAGCCGCAGCCGCTCCCGCAGCCGCAACCGCAACCCACATCCACCACCACAACCACAACCACAACCACAAACACACATACAAACACAAATACGAACACTAATACAAACACCAGCAAGACCAAGACCACGACCACGACCACCACCACCACCACCACGACGACGACGAGAACAGCGACAAAGTACAAGGAATGGACAAATCGTAAAACAAAGAAGCCGCATTAAACGAACAACGGAAAAATGTGTACTGGAGATCGCCGATCGTGCGCCACCCTTGTGGTGCGCGCTGGTACCGGAACTAGTTTCGGCTTGTTACAAAACAACCGGTCCCTTCCGCAGCTCCCCCCCCCACCCCCGCCCCCAGCCGATCCCACGGAAGCTGCCGACGTGCACACAGCCAGATCGCATGTGAACAACAGAGGAAAACGACACCACAAAACAAGTTTTTGGAATGCATTTTGGGTTGCTGCGATGCCCCTTGGCTCGATGATGCCTCCCCCCGTGATCGCGAGTGAAGCAGCGAAGTGATGCGTACCTGGGCCAACACCGCCCAACATGAGAATCAAAGGTTCCGGTCCTGGGCCTTGGCGATGCTAAGGGACTCGAACAAAAATCAGCATCAAAAAGCACGCCTCCCCCAAGAATCTCTCAAGTTGCGATTGGGTAAACTTGGAAGGGGTCCACATTGACAAGACGCAGCTTTGGAAGATTGCCGAGGTGATCGGCTTGACAGACTTGGCGGGCTTGCTGATGGCCTTTGAACCGGAGTGCAGCGCTCCGGTGTTGAGCTACAGCTTCCAGCTGTTTGGCCTTCATCGTGGAGGCCCCCCCTATCTGATCCCATCTGCACATGCTGAGTCATACGCCTGGAGTATGCGAGAAATCGCGAACATCTGCAGATCTTACTTGCAAGCCATCTTCACTTGAAGGACTGACCCAGGCCGAGTTCTGCTCTGCTTGGGAAGGAGAGGCCAGTCAGCCTCAGTTCCTTCGCTGGCACCCAGGCCGAAAACAAACGCATACGTGCTTGGATGGAAGCAAGCGACATCAGCATCAATGCATAGCCAACCGTTCCAGGCATATCCGAAGGCCGCGTGATCGGCGGTGAGGCACAGGCGACCCTCAGCCAAAGCATGTTGTAACAGTGGAAGGATGCGGATGGTGTCTCAGCTCTTCGATCAGGATGAGATGGTTAGGGTTCTCATGTGACAAGTTGTTGTTGGGTAAAAGAACCCCTCTATTGCAGCCCGGTTCATCGTACGATGACAATCACGATTTAAGGAATTAGCTCAAACCTTGGACTCCATATGGGTCCGTCTTGCGAAAGTTCACGACTGGGGAGTGACAATGCTAGTGACCAACGTTGTGACAAGGTTGGGAATTGAACTTGTGACCGACCGTTCAAATTAGAAGGCCTTCTGCAATCTGAACCCTAATCTGAGCTAGGCAGCAGCCGCACTGGAGGGCGTGGCAGTTCGCATTGGACGTTTGAATTTTCACAAGGGTACCTGGACAAAAATTCCCCATGAATCTACAAACGTGACGACATGAGAAATGTCTGCAGGATTCAAACGTAAACTGGAGGCTGTACACAGCACTCACATGAAGCTGCACTTAGCTACTCCTAGCAGCTTGGCAACATCTGAGCTGATAAAGCACACTTGAGAGTCTTGAGATCAACACCGTCGCCAATCTGCCATCCAAGGATCCGGGATCTGGTCCACTCCAACCTCATTGGCTTGCCTCCGGAAACCAGTGACCTGGAGCTCCTGATCCCGAGGCACCCAGAAGCACTCTGGGTGCGCCAGCTGTACGCAAGCTACTACGAGAAGCACAACTCACAGACACATGGCTTGACACCCGAAGGCTCTTGCTGTGTGAAGCTGCGTTGCAACTGAAACTTTTGGGTTTTTGGGTTAGGAGGGAGAGCAAGATGCCGAGAAACTGTAAGCGGCCCCCCAACCTGTCGGGATGTGTTTGAAAGGCAGGGAACCAAGGAACCCGAGTCACTGGAGGCCTTTGGCTCATGCCCCAGGGTTCAATCGGCTTGGGTTTGGTTTCCAGAGAGTGAAGCGTTCCTAGCAGTTTAGGGTGGGACTCTGTGTAGGGTGCAACGTTTGGCTTTAGGGCTCAGAGTTCGCTGACAGGGCTGAAGGTTGCAAATCAGCTGCCATTTCCGCGTCATCTGCTGCGGCACAGACATGCTCCACCTTGCCACATGAGGCTTTGCGAGTCGAGGGCCATGTGGGCCACGCTGTTCAACCAAGGATTGAATCGCTGATGCATGAATCGCAGGCTGAGTTCACAACAGAAGCGCACTACCACTCCATCTCTGCGGAGCAGCCTCTTGTGCCTGATGGGCGGTTCAGATGGATGTGGTACATGCCCCCCCCCCCAAAACTTTTAACTCGAGTCCACACATCGCACCCGAGGTCTGAAATGCTAGAAGGCGAATTCTATGTGTGGCGAGTTCGCAGTCCAGGCAGGACCTCGGCAAGGGCAATATGATGGTAGTAGATCCTGGAAGTCTTGCTGATTCCCAGAGGCCTTCTCAACAGCTACGAAGTCAAGGAAGCCAGTGAAGCCAATGAAGCCGTCAGCAGACAGAAGTCCCGGAGGGGCCGTGCCCACAGTGCGCATGAAGTGCTGGCCTGGCATGGAGCTCCTTTCGATGTGGACCAAGACAGCTTGCTCGAAGGCCAATGCTTACATAAAGCCCCTTCTGAACATCAGGCGCATGCTCTTCACTGTAACCCTAAAACCCTGAACCCTAAACCCTAAACCCCGAGCCTGGGCTGAGGCGACTTGAGACCCACTGGAAGTATGCTGGATGGACGGTCACCATGGCGGCTGTCAGCCAGGCCGCTCCAGACCTTCGGCAAGGGGGCTGACTGGCCCCTGGCCTGAAAGGATGTCAAGTGTCTGCAAGTCTCGTGAAGAGCGTCACTAAGAGGGTCATTAAGAGGGTCCCATGAAGTTTAGGGTCAGCATGCCATCTTGAATTCTTCGCGGCTTTCAGGCCTCAAGCTTGAGCTGGAATGTCAAAGCTGTAAGCTGTAACTATGAACACCACCCAGGCCTACTGTGCCGATCGCCCTGGCTATACCCTTACTGTATCTCCAGCGGGCCCCTGTCCCTGTTGCGAAGCTATATAGTTTGAAAAGCACACTGTGAGACCCGCGCGGCCGAGATGTCCGAAAGGCGTAGCTGGCACTACTACATCTCAGAGCAGGGCCGGAAGCAGCTGCCGAGATACTGCTATTCCGGAAGCGACAACTCCTACATGTACATCTACTTCTGCTCGCCATTGGCCGAGCACCTGGTCCGCAAATACGTTCCACTCTGGATGGCTCCCAACTTGATCACGCTGGTGGGTCTCTGCATCTCGTGCCTGGGCTATGCTCTGGTTCACTTGCACTCACCCAACTTAAGCGAACCCTGCCCCGGCTGGGTTTGGCTAGTTAACGCAATCTGCACCTTTGCCTACCAAACCTTGGACAACATGGACGGCAAGCAGGCCAGGAGGACTGGGAGCTCGTCCCCCTTGGGCCTTTTCCTGGATCATGGTGCAGATGCCCTCAACATTGTGCTGTCCTCTCTGAACGTCATGTCCCTTCTGCAGTTGGGTGATGGCAAATACTTGGAGTGCTTCGGAGTCTGGGCTTCCACCACAACTCCATTCTTCTTTGCCACTTGGGAGGAGTACTTCACCGGCACTTTATATCTAGGTCCCTTCAATGGCCCCACGGACGGAGTCCTCATCGTTTGCGCGTCCTACTTGACGACCTTCCTCCACGGCAACCAAGCAGAGCTTTGGGGCTCCCAGCTGGTTTTTGGGCTCTCCCGTGCGCAGGCCATGATCTGCTTCTACGCCGTGTGCGTGCTGGGCACTGTCTTTGGCAACCTGAGGTCAGTCCAGCGAGGTCCACAGAGGCTTTTGCCAAGCCTTGTCCTCCTGGGGCCTTTTTGCATGCATCTTGCAGGCGTTGCAGTCTGCATGTTCTCGCCCATATCGGAGACACCACGCGCAGAGCTCCGGAGAGTGTACTGGTTCTTTGGCCTGGCCTTCTTGATGTTAGTGCAGCTGGGCTCATGTCTTCGGCAAGTCTCCAGTACTTTTCTTCCTGACACTTGCGTGCACCACATGCATCCATGCCTTGCTTGTGTGCTTGTGAGGTCAAAGCTGCAGCTTGCTCACGTCTGTGGTGAGGCTTACAGACCTTGGCAAACAAGCATCTTAATTCTGATGTCCTTCATCGCGGGCTGGGCTTTGAGCGATTTGTGCAGCACATTTCAGCTTGCAGTCGCTTTCTTGGCCTCTGCTTGGCTGCACATGATTTTCCATGTCCTCATGGAGATGGCAGAGATTCTCCAGGTTCCAATCTTCACCCTCCCAGAATGTGCAAAATCTGTGGCGAAATGATCCGAAACGTGTTTCAAACGGTTTGCGAAGCTTTTTTACAGGCCTGTAGCCCTTAACTGGCAAGTGCCGAGGACGCTGTTCTACTTGTGCCTAGTCCGCGTTGCGCCATCGGAGTATCTTGGATGCATCTCAACTGCTTGACCATGATTCATATGCCTACGTGTCGGTGATGAGCGACATCCTTGATCGTCGTTTCTACTTTGTGCAAGCCACGTACAGAAAGACGTGCGGGGCATCTCAGGATGACCCGGCTGGCGACAGTTGAAGAATCCGGCCGCGTGCTTCCGTCCCTCGCACTTGGTTCAATACTCGTGCTCGTAGCTGCCATTAGCTGCCCCCCTCGGGTGTGATCGGCCACCGCCAGTGTTGAATGCTCGTCGTTCGGGACAGTCGTAATGACGTAATGATTTGCTTAGAAGTGGCGTCCATCTGGGCTAACGAGAAGCATGCCACACAAGACAGACGGCAACATTGAAGCTGAGCTCGGCCCGGCATGCAGCGGGGCTTGTCATTATCTATCACTTGCTTTGACTGGCGGAGGCTGTATTGCCTGATTCATCCATCGCTATGGGTGTGCGGTCCTGGCGGTGAGTGGCCTTAGCCATGTGTAGATGCCCAAGAGGTGTCACTTGACACATCCAATGTCAATACGAAGCTCGGTTTACGACGTTTTCGTGCTGAGACTTATTTGATCTCCCTTGCGCGTTGCAGGGCAGTTTTGCAGCTGTATGTGATCCTATCTGAAGAATGTCATAGATATGTGTCTGCGATGCTGTTCGCGGGTGTTATTGCAGCTGCATGATTTCGATCCATGCCGCTTCCAGGCGGCTTCATTTTTGCTACTAACATGTGGCGCAGAATGCGCAGACGATTCAACATTATATGTTGTCATCAGAAGACCTTCTATGTTGTCTTCAGAAGACGGCAAAAGCAAAACAAAGTGCGAGGTCTCGCAAGGTTAAGAGATGTTAAGAATTAAGAGCCATGTTTGTAAAGCTTCAAATGGCCAACGAGTTGAAAAAGGATTCCTGTACGAGTATTTGCCACTGGCTTCTGCGATGCGTGTTGGCTGAGGTGCGCATTCCGCGCGGTGCCACGCACCTGCTGATGTATGCGCTAGGCGCAGGCGCGTCCTACCGAGACAGTAGAGACCCTAAACCCTAAACAATAAACCATTGCCCCCCGCTATCTCTTGGTTTTGGGGGGGGGGGGCGTCCCCTAATAGGATTTCCTAAAAAGTATGTGGTTTTTAGGACGTGGGGGGGGGGCCAAGAAATAGGAAAAAACACTAGCCCATGTTCCTAGAATTTCATAATCTACCTCGTTCTCCACATTATGATTTCACCTTCTCTTTGAAGCAATATGAAGCGATCTTGCTGCTGATAGAACATGCAGTGCAGTGGTCAACTCGCTTCGCCAGGGGCTGGCGTTTCTGTTGTCAGGTGTATGCTGAAGTCATGTCGTGCTTCAGCACTACAGCCCATGACATGACTCACAGCTTCTGGGTGTACTGGAGCCTCTTCGTGCGCGGGGGAGGAACCAGGACACCAGAGGACGCCCGAGGTCCCCCGACATAAGCACCGGGTTTAGGATGGAAGAGGGGGGGGGGAGGCGTTGGAAACACTGTACTGGTGGGCACTTCCATGACCTACCCCTCCCAACTTCTTCCTATTTCGGGGCGCGGGGAACCTTTCTGGGGAAGCCTGGGTAGAGGACACTATTGCACACTACAGGACCCCGAGACAGCCAGCCCAGCCCACGTTAGCACCGGGTTTAGGATGGAAGAGGGGGGGGGGAGGCGTTGGAAACACTGTACTGGTGGGCACTTCCATGACCTACCCCCCCCCAACTTCTTCCTATTTCGGGGGTCACGGGGGAGGACCGTGGACCCTTCTGAGGAAGCCTGGACACTGGCGACAGCCCCCGACGCAGCCGCATCAGCACCGGGTTTAGGATGGAAGATGGGGGGGAGGCATGGGAAACGCTGTGCTGGTGGGTACTTCCATGACCTACCCCAATCCAGTTTCTTCCTATTTCGGGAGGACCCTGGACCCTTCTGTCTGTCGGGTTGTTGTTTAACAATCTTAGAAACCCAGAGCAACGACGGGCAGAGCATCGCATATCACCGTATTGGGACGTGGGGGGGGGCCCCCCACGTCCAGACCGGCAAGGTGTATTAGGATATTTTCCTATTACCACCCCCCCCCACGCCCCCCCCCAGATAACCTGGGGCAATAATAAACCCTAAACAATAAACCCTAAACAATAAACCCTAAACAATAAACCCTAAACCCTGTGGAATTTGGAGAAGGTGCGTGCATTGGGCAGGCTTTGCAAGCTTGTGCACGCAGGTGGCATCCAGACAAACGAGCCGGTGGCAACACTCCAGCTCGGCGCCTGGATTAATATTAATATTAATCTTAATATTAATATTAATCTTAGACTTAATCTTAATATTAATATGAATAGTAATATGAATATTAGAGTTTTCAAAGTTGAGCGAAAAAGGAGCGGGCACTGAATGACACTGTGCAAGAGCATGGTGCAAGTGGCAAGGATTCATGACGCCCGCCCTCCGACTGAACTGCCGACGGGCTTCAAGGCTTCTCGCACCCCAACCTCGAAGACTCTATCTCTTGGCACTTTTACTTGAGGTGGTGTCTTTTGTGCGAGCGCCATCTGGTGCAGAGCTCAGGGTCCTTCGGAGAACAAGCCCCAAACCTTAAACACTCCAGTGGCTAAGCAGATGAAGGTTCGGCTTCCTTCACAGCCCACTTCACGCCCGGGCAGTGTGCCGGGATGGATGGAAGTGCACAAGGACCTCGGCATGTCTGCGCCGGTAAGCCGACTTAGTTGATGTACTTCAACTGGGCATCTTGCTGTCAGGACATGACGCTTCAGCTTGTGAACCTGCAAGCGGTCACGCCAGGGTCTCGAGAATGCTGACTGCATGCCGTGAGATTCTGGTTGTTGCTGGTGAAGTGTATTTTCACCTTGCGCAGCACTCGCACCTTTGAGGCTGTCTACTGGGTGGACCAGCGGGGCCAAAAACTCGGCATGCCGCTGTGGGCTTCAGACAACTCGAAGGCTTCAAACCACAAGTTGAAGTGAGTGTGGGGTATTCAGCTGCGTGTGGGATCCATATTAATATTGTGTTGCTTGCGAACGCTTCAGTGAAAGGAGCTTTCCATGTCCGATGTCAAAGTCCCACCTGAAGCTCGAGGTTTGCGGGCAGGATGCTCAGTGAATAGTGAACCTATGAAGAAGACAACAATACTCGCCAGCTGTCTGGACAGTCTGGCACTGCAATCCTGGTCGTCACACCCATCATGCTACTGAGTTAATACGTCTTGGTGAAAACTGCTAAAAAACCCCACGACAAATGATAGGGGCCTGTGTCGAAATGCAGGTCCTTGCCAGAAACCAATATGGCGAGATGGCATCTGGACCTGCTACATGGTGCGCTGATCGAGTTTGTGTAACCCAACACCACATGTCAGCGGTCCACAAGTAATTCACTGCCGCAGACAGGCCCCCATCGTTGGCAGAACCGGACCAGGAGGACCAGACTGACCCAACCAGCTTGGAAAAAATGGTCGCACTATGCTCCTTGCGTTGCACTGACTGCAGTTAGAAAGGTCGGTTAGCTGCACACGATCTTTAGGGGAACCTGCCGCTGCGAGAGCATGGATGGCTTTTTCGACAAATGACGTGACACCGCTCGGAAGCAGTCTCAATAAACCTCAAACACACAACGTAGCAGACGGAGCATCATGTTCACAGACTCTGCCGCAGTCTATCAGAGTCTATCAGATGTACGTGCTGTGAGCATCATCGCTGGATCCCCCACAAAAAAAGACAACATCGAAAGTCGAACTCGGCCTTTGTCCGCGTGACCTGGATCGATGTGGCAAGTGCTGTGGCCTTCTGAGGCCGCCGAGGACCCCCCCCCCCCCCCCCCCCCCCCCCCCCCCCCCCCCCCCCCCCCCCCCCCCCCCCCCCCCCCCCCCACACCAGAAATGACGCCCGCCGGTACAGGTGCGGGGGGCTGCGCTGGGCCAGGCCGAGGCGGGTCGCATAGCGTTAAAATTATTTAAGAAACCACGCTGCTCGACCCCGGCTTGTGTACGGTTCGGCATTGGGCCTCTGCACCCTCCCCCCTCCCAGGGTATCCCCCGCCCGCCCTAAACCTCAAGAAACTCTGTAAGCCTTAAACTTAAACCCTAAGCCTCAAGCCTTATAAACCCTAAGCCCTAAACTTTTGAACCCTAAGCCCGAAACCCTAAACCCTAAGCCCTATAAGCCCTAAACCCCATAAGCCCTAAACCCTAAACCCTGAGCTCTAAACCCTAAACCCCATAAGCCCTAAACGCGTGCATGCGGTCGCGCGTGCGAGCATGCGTACGTGCGCGCGCCCGCATTAGCAGCATGAGCTGGGTAGGCCTTGTGCCCTTAAACCACCCATTTGCCCTTCAATCTCGCTGAGAAAAGCTGCAAAAACTCGCGTTTTTCTGCGCGGGAGCCTTCCGAGCACGGCCAAAGCGAGCATCAGGAGCATCAGCGCCCCCCCCCCCCCCACCAGCCCCCCGACCCCGCAAAAAACACCCCTAAACACGCTTGCTTTACGCCCTTCAACAGCTTCGTGCCCGCGACACATGGGACAAGCGAGACCCTCAAGGGCGTTGAATACCCTTAAGGGTCTTGCTTGTCGCTGTTTCGTCGACAATTTGCGAGGTTTTCTCCTCTTGGGGAACCCCCAGGAGAGCATCATGAGCATCATGAGAAACGATGGGTCGATGATGCCGGGCCCGACCGGACACCAGCGCGGGCGGGGCAAGGAGTCGCGCGTGGAAAACCAAGAAAAACACGGTATTTGCAGCGATTTTGGCGTTTGGTTTCGTTTTTGATGGCCTTGGAGCCGCGCGCCGGGGCCACTGATGCTCATGATGCTCCCCTTGTCTTGGGCTTCCGGGACCCCCCCCCATTACCCCCCCCCCCCCCCCAAACCTTGAAAATATGGTTTCGGTCCACGGCGCCGCCCAGTGTAAAAAGCCAAGGTCGATGATGATGCGCGTTCGTGAGGGTTTAATGAGGGGTTTGGGGCGCTTGGGGGCCGTGAAATCCTCAAAAAACTATAGTGCTTTTGCGAGGTTTTCGTGTTTTTTCCATCACCCCGTTTTGGGGCCTCTCTGATGCCCTTCTGGAGGCCTCGCGAAGGGCCCGCGCGAGTCTTTGAGAAAAACGGGGTTGGGTCTGTGGCGCCGGCGGCAGCCGTAAAAGGCAAGCCATTAGGCTAGCCATGCTCCGCACTGGACCACGACGGCCAGGCCGGAATTTAAGGGCTGTGCCCGTGGCCGGGCAGCGCAGGCAGAAGCTTGAGGAGAGTTGATCGCTTGTACATGTTTTTGCTTGTAGAGGCTGCCACCAATTGGGGGCACACGCGCGCGTGCGCCCACCTCCGCGTGCGCGCGTGATGTCGCACGACCAGCTGTAGAACACCGGATTGCACGGGTTTTGCGGTGGGGTCTATAGTGTCACAGCCATTACCTTTCAACCCTAAATGAAGATTAGGCCTTGAGCTCAAAGACCATGCCTTAAGGGAGCGCATCATGAGAATCAGCGGGTTCAGCCCGGGACCCCCAACCGCGCATCACGAGCATCAGCGGCCCTGGCTTCCCCCAAAAAGCGCGCATCATCAGCATCAGCGGCTCCAGCTTTGGCTCGCCAGCCAACATGATGGCCCACGGGGGCGATACTCGGCGTGGCTGGGGGGTCTTCGTGGCGTGGTTGCAGCTCGGGTTTCAAGGCACTTTTAGCCATTTTATTTGGTTGCGGTTTGGGTGGGGTCGGCGGCCTCTTTGTGCTACGCGCAAGGCCAGTTCCACTAGCACGGGATAAATCCCCGTGTGAATCAGGCCCGCGCCAGGCCGCGAGGGCCATGGCGCTGCCCGATTGAGAACGCCTGGCGGTGAATCAGCGGCTGCTCCACAAAATTGTGCGTAGACGTGAGCGGATGCGCCGCAAATCTGAGCAGTTCAAGCACACATGATGGCGAAGCAGCGCGCCCAGGAGTTGAGGACCTTGACAAAGACATCAACCTAACCAGGCCCTTGAGTCGGAGTCATCTGGTCATTTTCAGTGGGCAGCCTTGACAAATGCAGGTGCACACCTACGTGGGAGGCCTTCGGCAGGAGCTCTTGCCTGAGATCGGCAAGAAGATGGACGAGAGGAAGGCGGAGGATGCGCTCACCAAGGCTCATTCTGAAGTTGGGAAACAGTCTTCCAGTAACATCGCAGAAAACATCCCTGCCGCAAAACGCAGAACAACACCGCCGTTGTAATTACTTTGACATCGTGCTAGTGCAGTTTGGAGCAGTCTGAGTCTGCCCGAGTCTCCTTTCAGTCGGAGGTGCACCAAAAGTTGGCTGACTTGCTGTCTCATCCTCAGCCGGTCTGAAGCTGCGTATCTGTGCTGCTTCATGGAGCTGAAGGTTCACGGGAGAGTATGCCAAAGTTGATGCGAAGGTGCGCGACCTGCAGGTTGCTCAGAGGCGAGGCTATCATGGTAGATTGATACGTTCTTTTGTTTGCTTATTACGTGTGCGCAGCCATAGGGGGGTCACTCTCAACAAGCTACATGTTTGGAATACAGTACAACGCATGCACCCACTTTTCACCCACCTTTCTGGGGCACGGAGCACTCTTTGTTTTTCACGTCAGCAGTAGCAGTCATGCCGCAACCGACTGCAGCTGTGTCAGGTTCGAAGTGTCACGACTCTAGTAGGGTGCGGGCAGCTGTGCACCGCGCCGTGCACCGCGCCGTGACAGGAGGGTCTCCAATTATGATCACCGCCGTGCGTGCAATTGCCTTCCCCAACGCCCACGCGAATGTCAATGTGCACGTCGACAGCGACAAGGCATGTCTGATTTTCGGACACATTTGCACGCAACTACTTTTCTTCTGGGTGCTGGGCGTTCCATACATCACATGCTTCGTATTCGCATCTTTTGTCTCCGGGGCCCTCCTCTCTGTCATGATCGCTTGGGCACGGACAGTGAATGAAGGACGTCGACTAGACCCAGCAAGCAGAATTTGCTTCAAGATCCTCTTCTTGCTCTTTACCGGGCTTCTCATGACACATGGCCTCATGTTCCTAGATGACAAATGCTCATGGAAAAGTGAAGATGAGATGTGCCTGGACGTTCTTGGAGTTGAGCGAGCGAAGCTCGGAATTCTCATTGGACACACGCAGGTTGCAATCGTCGTCATCAAGATGAAGAATGTCTAAACCTGAAAGAGCCACATGAGACAGTCGTAGTCTCCAGTTGAGTTTCGGTTTCCTGTGTGCCCGTCTTGCAACACATTAGTAATTACTACAAGCCTAAAGAGCCAAAACATTTCTCTGGAGCATTTAAACCTGGACAGGTTTATGCTCAGGTCTGACGTTGAACAGAGTTTTTATCAGCCATGAATGACCGCAAGACGCAGGAGCCGGTGCAAGTGGTTGCGTGAGCTCTCTCGGGATTTGGGGTTTGGGATGTTTTGCTCCCCCAAACCCTAAAGCACTGAGTATGGGAGCATGCTCCCTTGAATTTGGGAAATAATGGGATGCTCTCCTTGTTTCCCAACAACACGGGAGGTTACACAAAGGGGGCAGGAAGCGCTCACGCATCCACTTTCTAGCATCAAAGTCCATGCAAGTGTTGATTGCAAAGTTCTGTGTGCCAGCGTTGCAGTGCCGCAGTGCGGGTGCTGCTCTGATCCCTGCAATTCCATCAACCGACATGGCGTGGACTCAAGTCAGGCAATGGCAAAACCAACCTTTTGTCATTGAGTGTGACCATGAGCGTGTGAGCCTGGGCCTCTGCAGTTGAGAAGCCAAGCTTGAGCTGCATGCGTGGTTTGTTTGTGAGCAGAGCAGTTAACACAAACCTGCTCAGCGACCACAAATATGAGCCCTTAAAAGCCCTATACTACCCACAAAAAAAAACGTGACTTAACTCCGCCAGGTTGATGACGGCGACTTCAAGCACGCAGCGAGCAGCTGTGGAGTCTGGGGCTCTGGGGCTGTAGGGTTCACAGCTGTAGGGGTTTGGCTGGTCACGGCTTCGGGAAAAGGGCTTCTCAGAGCTGGAGTAGGCTCAAACCCTCCCAAAGGAGAGCACACAAACAGAAAGTCAAATATCAGGGTCGTACACCTGTTTGTTTAGGAGGGGCTTCAATTCTGAAAACAGATTGACATTTTGTCTGCTTCAAGGTCAAGAACTTCCAGGGTCAGCGCACTGGCGTCCGGCCCATAGCCGAAGGCAAGGGGCCTGAAGCGTACCAGTCTGTTCTATTCTGTTCTCGAATGCATCACGAAACTCTGGTTGGGGCTGAGATTTGCTGACAACACATTGGTCATCCTGCCAACGGTACTGTGCCTATGTCCCCAACTCCCATGATGCACTGAATTCAGTCCAGAAGTTTTTTGTTGGAAGCCCCTGTGCAGTTTTTGAATGGCATGCACGTAGTATAGCCTCCAACTGCAGTAGATAAGGTCTGATGGCAAGCTTCGATCGACCGCCCCAGCAGCGATACACCTTTGCAAGGCCGTGGCCGTGACACTGTCATGACTGCAAGCGATCATTGTGCCACTCTTGTACCTCTTCTAGTTCTCTTATAGTATGATTCGAGTACTATAGTATTATTATAGTATGAATATATTATTCGTACAGTATTGTTGTAGTGATGTTTCTTGAGACCAAGGGGTGCCCTCCTTTCTTAAAGCACTCGGATCCTTCGATGCCCCAAATAACGTCTGCAATTCTGAGAAGCCCCAGAGGCTTGGAATGGAAGCTTGTCTTGTATTCAAATCAATTCCAACAGCACGACGAAGTAGTTTATTCGTATCAGTTGCTCTCCGAAAGTTGACACAGCTGACCCTACGTCAGGCTTCAAAATGATGCACTTCCACCACAAGTCTAGCTTTTCGTTGAGCAAAGTTTCTTGCACTATTCCCACGTCGTTGGCTGTTTGTGTTCGCGTCGAGCAGAGAGTCAGAACATCATCATGTCACTTGCCGCATCTTGATGCCGGAAGTAGTACTGGTTTTGAGGCTACCGAACGGGGGTCTAGGCTGGAGAGATGTGTACCACTGAGCTGGGCTGTTTTCGTCTGCAAACTCGGCCGCGAGCTGGGCCCGAAGCAGCAATCTTTAGCAGTTGGAAAAGCCATGCTTGCCGCAGCTGCTCTCACTCGGCGGACGGTCCAGACACGGCCGTGCAGGGCGGTTGGCCTTACGGCGCGTCTTGCTGCGGCGCTGGTGTGCTTTGTGTTGCTCTGTGCTTCAAATGGAACTCAGTGGATGGCCGCGCGCAATGTGCAGAAGCTGTCAGCAACGCTGAAGCAGATCTTGGCAACCCAGGCCCGTGCCTCAGCTGATGAGGTCGAGGCGGAGCGGCATGGAGCCAAGGCAACCGAGGATGAGGCCGCAGAGGCGCGAGATGAAGCCGAAGCGGACCGGGATGAAGTGGCCGCTGAGGCCGACCGTGCGGAGGAGGATGAGGAGAAGGGCAAGGCTGCTGCGGAGGAGACCAAGGCTGCCGAGGAAGAGGCCGAGGCAGAGACCGAGTCAAGTGAGGTTGCTGCTGATGAGACGGCAGCCGATACGGCGCAAGCTGGAGCTGCAGCAGAGGGTGCAAGGGCTGGGGAGGAAGAAGCCGAGGCAGATGCAGATGAGGCTGCGGAGGCAGCGCTCACCTTTGTGCCGTTCCTAGACGTCGTTGCAGATACTGTTGGTACGGCAGCGGCAGTTGGCCTGCAAGCCGCTGCGGCCGCTGACACAGCGGAAGCCGCGGAGCTTGGGAGTGAGAGTGTGGCCGAGCGGGCTGCTGAAGCTGACGCCCAGGCCGCGCTAGTCAAGACAAGAGCCGCTGAGGCAGAAGCAAGCAGCACGGAGGCCCGTGACAGTGCCGCTGCAAAGGAGGCAGAGGAGGCTGCAGAAGGAGAGGAGGCTGATGAAGCGCGGGCGAAGGCCGATGAGGCAGCGAAGGATGAAGATGCTGCGAAGCAAGATGCTAGCGCAGCGGCGGAGACTGCAGATGCGGAGCAATCGGAAGCCCTTGCAGCTCGCAAGTTCTTGGAGCTTGTGAACTTTGCGATCCTGGCCGCCTTCTTTGCGCTCCTGAGTCTAGTGCTTGCCATTGTGCCAGCCTTATTCTTGCTTGGGAAGTGGGTCGTGTCGGGACTCTCAGGCATCAAGCGTACTTGCCAACAGGGTTGCGAGCTTGTGTTGGGACCCTGTCGCCGGTCAGCAGCTTCTATGAGTTGGGCATCCAGGCCTTCCGTCGACTGCCTGCATGGCTTCACGTTGGCTTTGATGGCATCTGGATTCCTATTTCCGGTTGTGGCCTCAGCTGTCAGAAAGCTGGGGCGGGAAGAGCTCCGGCTTGGCAACTTCAAGGAGACCCACAAGAGCCCAGCAGTCTTGCTCCACAACTTCGAAGTCCTGGCACCGACAATAGAACATGAGATTGGCAAGATCGTCGTGGGTTCCTTCGTTGTCTTCCTTTGGACCATGCTTTTGGAGGTTGCTTTCATGCTCGAGCGCTTGCGGCGTACATCCATGCCTCTCTCACGTCGCTTCTGCTGGGTGGTGCAAGGAGCAGCGGACATGGCCTGCGTTACTGGCCTGGCGTCAGCTGCAGGATCGGTTGTCGTGTTGAGTTGGAGCCGCTCCCTTTGGCTTTTGTTCAGTTCAGCACACACCCCTCGTTGCTCTTCCATTTCCCTTGTCTTGGAGCTCAGCATCGTTGCCGCTCTCCTTGTGGAGATTGCGTGCCGCTGTCAGTGGGCCCCGCCTTGTCGCCTTGTGAGGAGATGCCCCGTGAGCCCCGTGAGCAGGAACGTGGAAAAGCTCCTGGAATCATGGGGTTCCTGAAGTTCCTGATGGGGTTCCTAGCTGACTCGGCCTTGGTTCTGCTGCAAGGCGCGGTCAGTGCGGTGGAAGGTGCCATGACCCTGAGTTCAGGCTGGATGCTGTGCTCGCTAGTGATGTTTGCCGTGTGTGTGTGGAAGCTGGCTCTACCTTATGCGCTGCCAAGAGTCAAGGCTGTCGTGTCACAACAATGGCGTTGGCTTCTTTCCGCCATCGTGTTGTTGGAGCTTGTTGATTTGGCCTACATCATCATCCGTCTCCGTCTCTGGCATCGCCGTGGAGTCCGTGGAGATCGCCAAGGCCGCCAAGGTGCTCGTGGAGCTCTACTGCCTGAGTAGCAGACCTGAGTAGCAGACGAGCAGAGTATAGCAGAGTATTCAAGACACACTTTTTTGTTTGCCACGTCCGAAGCGGGAAAAGGTTCTGAGCAAATCAATGCTTGTAGGAGCACTGAGGCATTTGCGACTGTGTGGAAGGCATACGAGCATGGTAGGCGCAGGTACGGGAAAGCCAAGTTACAAGCAGGTGACAATTGTGAGCCTCTTAGATATACCATTCTACAGAGCTCAGGTGTTGTCTTGTTTACCTAACTATTATAGTCGTAGGCCCACCATGTGAAACCCTGAAACAGGTGCAGGAGAGCGGCCTCCCCCATTCCTGTGTTCCATGGAGGCATCGCAAGCCCAGGGAAAAGTTCTGTGTTAAATTCAGATGGAAGTATTCAGACTTAGGAGCCCTCCACTCTAGCACGCAGGTGCCCGCTTCTTCGATGTGCTGCGCAAGCATGTGTGAATGAAGGAGGCCGACTAAACAAAGCAAGCAGAATGTGCTTCAAGATCCTCTTCTTGCTCTTTACCGGGCTCCAGTTTAGTTTCGGCTTCCCGTGTGCCCGTCTTGCAACACATTAGCAATTACTACAAGCCTAGAGCCAAAACATTTCTCTGAAGCATTTAAACCTGGACGGGTTTAGTAAGACTGCAAGACGCAGGAGCCGGCGCAAGTGGTTGCGTGAGCTCTCTCGGGATTTGGGGTTTGGGATGTTTTGCTCCCCCAAACCCTAAAGCACTGAGTATGGGAGCATGCTCCCTTGAATTTGGGAACACGCCCCTCCCCCAATGTCCCAATAATGGGAATGCCCTCCTTGTTTCCCAACAACACGGGAGGTTACACACAGGGGGCAGGAAGCGCTCACGCATCCACTTTCTAGCATCAAAGTCCATCCAAGTGTTGATTGCAAAGTTCTGTGTGCCCAGCGTTGCAGTGCCGCAGTGCGGGTGCTGCTCTGATCCCTGCAATTCCATCAACCGACATGGCGTGGACTCAAGTCAGGCAATGGCAAAACCAACCTTTTGTCATTGAGTGTGACCATGAGCGTGTGAGCCTGGGCCTCTGCAGTTGAGAAGCCAAGCTTGAGCTGCATGCGTGGTTTGTTTGTGAGCAGAGCAGTTAACACAAACCTGCTCAGCGACCACAAATATGCGCCCTTAAAAGCCCTATACTACCCACAACAAAAAACGTGACTTAACTCCGCCAGGTTGATGACGGCGACTTCAAGCACGCAGCGCGCAGCTGTGGAGTCTGGGGCTCTGGGGCTGTAGGGTTCACAGCTGTAGGGGTTTGGCTGGTCACGGCTTCGGGAAAAGGGCTTCTCAGAGCTGGAGTAGGCTCAAACCCTCCCAAAGGAGAGCACACAAACAGAAAGTCAAATATCAGGGTTGTACACCTGTTTGTTTAGGAGGGGCTTCAATTCTGAAAACAGATTGACATTTTGTCTGCTTCAAGGTCAAGAACTTCCAGGGTCAGCGCACTGGCGTCCGGCCCATAGCCGAAGGCAAGGGGCCTGAAGCGTACCAGTCTGTTCTATTCTGTTCTCGAATGCATCACGAAACTCTGGTTGGGGCTGAGATTTGCTGACAACACATTGGTCATCCTGCCAACGGTACTGTGCCTATGTCCCCAACTCCCATGATGCACTGAATTCAGTCCAGAAGTTTTTTGTTGGAAGCCCCTGTGCAGTTTTTGAATGGCATGCACGTAGTATAGCCTCCAACTGCAGTAGATAAGGTCTGATGGCAAGCTTCGATCGACCGCCCCAGCAGCGATACACCTTTGCAAGGCCGTGGCCGTGACACTGTCATGACTGCAAGCGATCATTGTGCCACTCTTGTACCTCTTCTAGTTCTCTTATAGTATGATTCGAGTACTATAGTATTATTATAGTATGAATATATTATTCGTACAGTATTGTTGTAGTGATGTTTCTTGAGACCAAGGGGTGCCCTCCTTTCTTAAAGCACTCGGATCCTTCGATGCCCCAAATAACGTCTGCAATTCTGAGAAGCCCCAGAGGCTTGGAATGGAAGCTTGTCTTGTATTCAAATCAATTCCAACAGCACGACGAAGTAGTTTATTCGTATCAGTTGCTCTCCGAAAGTTGACACAGCTGACCCTACGTCAGGCTTCAAAATGATGCACTTCCACCACAGTACCTCGGTGTGCAGGCAGGGCCATTCTTCTTGCAATTTTCTGTTTCAAGTCTAGCTTTTCGTTGAGCAAAGTTTCTTGCACTATTCCCACGTCGTTGGCTGTTTGTGTTCGCGTCGAGCAGAGAGTCAGAACATCATCATGTCACTTGCCGCATCTTGATGCCGGAAGTAGTACTGGTTTTGAGGCTACCGAACGGGGGTCTAGGCTGGAGAGATGTGTACCACTGAGCTGGGCTGTTTTCGTCTGCAAACTCGGCCGCGAGCTGGGCCCGAAGCAGCAATCTTTAGCAGTTGGAAAAGCCATGCTTGCCGCAGCTGCTCTCACTCGGCGGACGGTCCAGACACGGCCGTGCAGGGCGGTTGGCCTTACGGCGCGTCTTGCTGCGGCGCTGGTGTGCTTTGTGTTGCTCTGTGCTTCAAATGGAACTCAGTGGATGGCCGCGCGCAATGTGCAGAAGCTGTCAGCAACGCTGAAGCAGATCTTGGCAACCCAGGCCCGTGCCTCAGCTGATGAGGTCGAGGCGGAGCGGCATGGAGCCAAGGCAACCGAGGATGAGGCCGCAGAGGCGCGAGATGAAGCCGAAGCGGACCGGGATGAAGTGGCCGCTGAGGCCGACCGTGCGGAGGAGGATGAGGAGAAGGGCAAGGCTGCTGCGGAGGAGACCAAGGCTGCCGAGGAAGAGGCCGAGGCAGAGACCGAGTCAAGTGAGGTTGCTGCTGATGAGACGGCAGCCGATACGGCGCAAGCTGGAGCTGCAGCAGAGGGTGCAAGGGCTGGGGAGGAAGAAGCCGAGGCAGATGCAGATGAGGCTGCGGAGGCAGCGCTCACCTTTGTGCCGTTCCTAGACGTCGTTGCAGATACTGTTGGTACGGCAGCGGCAGTTGGCCTGCAAGCCGCTGCGGCCGCTGACACAGCGGAAGCCGCGGAGCTTGGGAGTGAGAGTGTGGCCGAGCGGGCTGCTGAAGCTGACGCCCAGGCCGCGCTAGTCAAGACAAGAGCCGCTGAGGCAGAAGCAAGCAGCACGGAGGCCCGTGACAGTGCCGCTGCAAAGGAGGCAGAGGAGGCTGCAGAAGGAGAGGAGGCTGATGAAGCGCGGGCGAAGGCCGATGAGGCAGCGAAGGATGAAGATGCTGCGAAGCAAGATGCTAGCGCAGCGGCGGAGACTGCAGATGCGGAGCAATCGGAAGCCCTTGCAGCTCGCAAGTTCTTGGAGCTTGTGAACTTTGCGATCCTGGCCGCCTTCTTTGCGCTCCTGAGTCTAGTGCTTGCCATTGTGCCAGCCTTATTCTTGCTTGGGAAGTGGGTCGTGTCGGGACTCTCAGGCATCAAGCGTACTTGCCAACAGGGTTGCGAGCTTGTGTTGGGACCCTGTCGCCGGTCAGCAGCTTCTATGAGTTGGGCATCCAGGCCTTCCGTCGACTGCCTGCATGGCTTCACGTTGGCTTTGATGGCGTCTGGATTCCTATTTCCGGTTGTGGCCTCAGCTGTCAGAAAGCTGGGGCGGGAAGAGCTCCGGCTTGGCAACTTCAAGGAGACCCACAAGAGCCCAGCAGTCTTGCTCCACAACTTCGAAGTCCTGGCACCGACAATAGAACATGAGATTGGCAAGATCGTCGTGGGTTCCTTCGTTGTCTTCCTTTGGACCATGCTTTTGGAGGTTGCTTTCATGCTCGAGCGCTTGCGGCGTACATCCATGCCTCTCTCACGTCGCTTCTGCTGGGTGGTGCAAGGAGCAGCGGACATGGCCTGCGTTACTGGCCTGGCGTCAGCTGCAGGATCGGTTGTCGTGTTGAGTTGGAGCCGCTCCCTTTGGCCTTTGTTCAGTTCAGCACACACCCCTCGTTGCTCTTCCATTTCCCTTGTCTTGGAGCTCAGCATCGTTGCCGCTCTCCTTGTGGAGATTGCGTGCCGCTGTCAGTGGGCCCCGCCTTGTGAGGAGATGCCCCGTGAGCCCCGTGAGCAGGAACGTGGAAAAGCTCCTGGAATCATGGGGTTCCTGAAGTTCCTGATGGGGTTCCTAGCTGACTCGGCCTTGGTTCTGCTGCAAGGCGCGGTCAGTGCGGTGGAAGGTGCCATGACCCTGAGTTCAGGCTGGATGCTGTGCTCGCTAGTGATGTTTGCCGTGTGTGTGTGGAAGCTGGCTCTACCTTATGCGCTGCCAAGAGTCAAGGCTGTCGTGTCACAACAATGGCGTTGGCTTCTTTCCGCCATCGTGTTGTTGGAGCTTGTTGATTTGGCCTACATCATCATCCGTCTCCGTCTCTGGCATCGCCGTGGAGTCCGTGGAGATCGCCAAGGCCGCCAAGGTGCTCGTGAAGCTCTACTGCCTGAGTAGCAGACCTGAGTAGCAGACGAGCAGAGTATAGCAGAGTATTCAAGACATACTTTTTTGTTTGCCACGTCCGAAGCGGGAAAAGGTTCTGAGCAAATCAATGCTTGTAGGAGCACTGAGGCATTTGCGACTGTGTGGAAGGCATACGAGCATGGTAGGCGCAGGTACGGGAAAGCCAAGTTACAAGCAGGTGACAATTGTGAGCCTCTTAGATATACCATTCTACAGAGCTCAGGTGTTGTCTTGTTTACCTAACTATTATAGTCGTAGGCCCACCATGTGAAACCCTGAAACAGGTGCAGGAGAGCGGCCTCCCCCATTCCTGTGTTCCATGGAGGCATCGCAAGCCCAGGGAAAAGTTCTGTGTTAAATTCAGATGGAAGTATTCAGACTTAGGAGCCCTCCACTCTAGCACGCAGGTGCCCGCTTCTTCGATGTGCTGCGCAAGCATGTGTGAATGAAGGAGGCCGACTAAACAAAGCAAGCAGAATGTGCTTCAAGATCCTCTTCTTGCTCTTTACCGGGCTCCAGTTTAGTTTCGGCTTCCCGGGTGCCCGTCTTGCAACACATAAGCAATTACTACAAGCCTAGAGCCAAAACATTTCTCTGCAGCATTTAAACCTGGACGGGTTTAGTAAGACCGCAAGACGCAGGAGCCGGCGCAAGTGGTTGCGTGAGCTCTCTCGGGATTTGGGGTTTGGGATGTTTTGCTCCCCCAAACCCTAAAGCACTGAGTATGGGAGCATGCTCCCTTGAATTTGGGAACACGCCCCTCCCCCAATTTCCCCAATAATGGGAATGCTCTCCTTGTCTCCCAACAACACGGGAGGTTACACACAGGGGGGAGGAAGCGCTCACGCATCCACTTTCTAGCATCAAAGTCCATCCAAGTGTTGATTGCAAAGTTCTGTGTGCCCAGCGTTGCAGTGCCGCAGTGCGGGTGCTGCTCTGATCCCTGCAATTCCATCAACCGACATGGCGTGGACTCAAGTCAGGCAATGGCAAAACCAACCTTTTGTCATTGAGTGTGACCATGAGCGTGTGAGCCTGGGCCTCTGCAGTTGAGAAGCCAAGCTTGAGCTGCATGCGTGGCTTGTTTGTGAGCAGAGCAGTTAACACAAACCTGCTCAGCGACCACAAATATGAGCCCTTAAAAGCCCTATGACAACACATTGGTCATCCTGCCAACGGTACTGTGCCTATGTCCCCAACTCCCATGATGCATTGAATTCAGTCCAGAAGTTTTTTGTTGGAAGCCCCTGTGCAGTTTTTGAATGGCATGCACGTAGTATAGCCTCCAACTGCAGTAGATAAGGTCTGATGGCAAGCTTCGATCGACCGCCCCAGCAGCGATACACCTTTGCAAGGCCGTGGCCGTGACACTGTCATGACTGCAAGCGATCATTGTGCCACTCTTGTACCTCTAGTTCTTTTATAGTATGATTCGAGTACTATAGTATTATTATAGTATGAATATATTATTCGTACAGTATTGTTGTAGTGATGTTTCTTGAGACCAAGGGGTGCCCTCCTTTCGTAAAGCACTCGGATCCTTCGATGCCCCAAATAACGTCTGCAATTCTGAGAAGCCCCAGAGGCTTGGAATGGAAGCTTGTCTTGTATTCAAATCAATTCCAACAGCACGACGAAGTAGTTTATTCGTATCAGTTGCTCTCCGAAAGTTGACACAGCTGACCCTACGTCAGGATTCAAAATGATGCACTTCCACCACAGTACCTCGGTGTGCAGGCAGGGCCATTCTTCTTGCAATTTTCTGTTTCAAGTCTAGCTTTTCGTTGAGCAAAGTTTCTTGCACTATTCCCACGTCGTTGGCTGTTTGTGTTCGCGTCGAGCAGAGAGTCAGAGCATCATCATGTCACTTGCCGCATCTTGATGCCGGAAGTAGTACTGGTTTTGAGGCTACCGAACGGGGGTCTAGGCTGGAGAGATGTGTACCACTGAGCTGGGCTGTTTTCGTCTGCAAACTCGGCCGCGAGCTGGGCCCGAAGCAGCAATCTTTAGCAGTTGGAAAAGCCATGCTTGCCGCAGCTGCTCTCACTCGGCGGACGGTCCAGACACGGCCGTGCAGGGCGGTTGGCCTTACGGCGCGTCTTGCTGCGGCGCTGGTGTGCTTTGTGTTGCTCTGTGCTTCAAATGGAACTCAGTGGATGGCCGCGCGCAATGTGCAGAAGCTGTCAGCAACGCTGAAGCAGATCTTGGCAACCCAGGCCCGTGCCTCAGCTGATGAGGTCGAGGCGGAGCGGCATGGAGCCAAGGCAACCGAGGATGAGGCCGCAGAGGCGCGAGATGAAGCCGAAGCGGACCGGGATGAAGTGGCCGCTGAGGCCGACCGTGCGGAGGAGGATGAGGAGAAGGGCAAGGCTGCTGCGGAGGAGACCAAGGCTGCCGAGGAAGAGGCCGAGGCAGAGACCGAGTCAAGTGAGGTTGCTGCTGATGAGACGGCAGCCGATACGGCGCAAGCTGGAGCTGCAGCAGAGGGTGCAAGGGCTGGGGAGGAAGAAGCCGAGGCAGATGCAGATGAGGCTGCGGAGGCAGCGCTCACCTTTGTGCCGTTCCTAGACGTCGTTGCAGATACTGTTGGTACGGCAGCGGCAGTTGGCCTGCAAGCCGCTGCGGCCGCTGACACAGCGGAAGCCGCGGAGCTTGGGAGTGAGAGTGTGGCCGAGCGGGCTGCTGAAGCTGACGCCCAGGCCGCGCTAGTCAAGACAAGAGCCGCTGAGGCAGAAGCAAGCAGCACGGAGGCCCGTGACAGTGCCGCTGCAAAGGAGGCAGAGGAGGCTGCAGAAGGAGAGGAGGCTGATGAAGCGCGGGCGAAGGCCGATGAGGCAGCGAAGGATGAAGATGCTGCGAAGCAAGATGCTAGCGCAGCGGCGGAGACTGCAGATGCGGAGCAATCGGAAGCCCTTGCAGCTCGCAAGTTCTTGGAGCTTGTGAACTTTGCGATCCTGGCCGCCTTCTTTGCGCTCCTGAGTCTAGTGCTTGCCATTGTGCCAGCCTTATTCTTGCTTGGGAAGTGGGTCGTGTCGGGACTCTCAGGCATCAAGCGTACTTGCCAACAGGGTTGCGAGCTTGTGTTGGGACCCTGTCGCCGGTCAGCAGCTTCTATGAGTTGGGCATCCAGGCCTTCCGTCGACTGCCTGCATGGCTTCACGTTGGCATTGATGGCGTCTGGATTCCTATTTCCGGTTGTGGCCTCAGCTGTCAGAAAGCTGGGGCGGGAAGAGCTCCGGCTTGGCAACTTCAAGGAGACCCACAAGAGCCCAGCAGTCTTGCTCCACAACTTCGAAGTCCTGGCACCGACAATAGAACATGAGATTGGCAAGATCGTCGTGGGTTCCTTCGTTGTCTTCCTTTGGACCATGCTTTTGGAGGTTGCTTTCATGCTCGAGCGCTTGCGGCGTACATCCATGCCTCTCTCACGTCGCTTCTGCTGGGTGGTGCAAGGAGCAGCGGACATGGCCTGCGTTACTGGCCTGGCGTCAGCTGCAGGATCGGTTGTCGTGTTGAGTTGGAGCCGCTCCCTTTGGCTTTTGTTCAGTTCAGCAGACACCCCTCGTTGCTCTTCCATTTCCCTTGTCTTGGAGCTCAGCATCGTTGCCGCTCTCCTTGTGGAGATTGCGTGCCGCTGTCAGTGGGCCCCGCCTTGTGAGGAGATGCCCCGTGAGCCCCGTGAGCAGGAACGTGGAAAAGCTCCTGGAATCATGGGGTTCCTGAAGTTCCTGATGGGGTTCCTAGCTGACTCGGCCTTGGTTCTGCTGCAAGGCGCGGTCAGTGCGGTGGAAGGTGCCATGACCCTGAGTTCAGGCTGGATGCTGTGCTCGCTAGTGATGTTTGCCGTGTGTGTGTGGAAGCTGGCTCTACCTTATGCGCTGCCAAGAGTCAAGGCTGTCGTGTCACAACAATGGCGTTGGCTTCTTTCCGCCATCGTGTTGTTGGAGCTTGTTGATTTGGCCTACATCATCATCCGTCTCCGTCTCTGGCATCGCCGTGGAGTCCGTGGAGATCGCCAAGGCCGCCAAGGTGCTCGTGAAGCTCTACTGCCTGAGTAGCAGACCTGAGTAGCAGACGAGCAGAGTATAGCAGAGTATTCAAGACACACTTTTTTGTTTGCCACGTCCGAAGCGGGAAAAGGTTCTGAGCAAATCAATGCTTGTAGGAGCACTGAGGCATTTGCGACTGTGTGGAAGGCATACGAGCATGGTAGGCGCAGGTACGGGAAAGCCAAGTTACAAGCAGGTGACAATTGTGAGCCTCTTAGATATACCATTCTACAGAGCTCAGGTGTTGTCTTGTTTACCTAACCATTATAGTCGTAGGCCCACCATGTGAAACCCTGAAACAGGTGCAGGAGAGCCCCATTCCTGTGTTCCATGGAGGCGTCGCAAGCCCAGGGAAAAGTTCTGTGTTAAACTCAGATGGAAGTATTCAGACTTAGGAGCCCTCCACTCTAGCACGCAGGTGCCCGCTTCTTCGATTTGTTGTGCAAGCTTGTGTAAGCGAATTCGCCAACACAAATGTTCTGGCACTAAACGAGAACATGAAGACTCAACCTAAGGGCCGAGCGGCCGAGAGGCCCTTCATGCCTCAAACATGTGAGAGTCGTTTTCGCGCGCGCGCGTGCGTGCTGTTCCATGAGGCCTCAATGCACGTCCGGCTTTTCCGGATTGAATCTTCTTAGTCTCCTTCAAGAAGCCCTCTCGAAGTCGAGACCCGTCCATCTCTGGCTCGTTCTCGAAATCCAGACTGATGCTTTTTGGCGCAGGCCTTTCCATGGATCGGTCGGTCACGGACACGGTCGAAGCACTTGTTGGAGGGCGTCCGTCGCGCAGACGCGGGTTTTGCGGAACGAACCTCAGCAGCCTCCTCAATAGGTTCATGGCTGCCGTGTCGACTCCAGGGAATTCCAAGCCCTTTCCTTCGCGCGAAGCGTTCCAGGTACGACTTGGCGTCCCCATCCAGTTGCTCAACCTCTTCTGGCACGTCGAGTTGGTCATGCTGCTCGGGCACGACGTATGGCCAACATTCGCATTGGTCCAGAGATAGTAACACGCAGGAACGCCGCCAGAAAAAGAGATACAAGCGAGACTCATCCAGGGTACCCCTATCGCTTCCTTAAATTGGAAGACAAATGTGCATCGACTCACTGGCCACGATGGTGTCAGCAGCGCAAGAACATCAGCACCGCAATCTGATCTTGGCCTCCTCCTTTCTATCCACAGATTTGACGAATTGATCAATGGAATCAGGTTCTGCCAAGTGACCAGACATGAACATTCGGTGGTTGTTGAGAGCGCTATGAAGTCCCCCTTGCAAATCAAATGCCAATCTGGTCAATCAATTGCTCGAGAATCCCCTATTCGTTTCTTCAATCTGGAATCAGTTTATTTGCAAATACTCTCCGATAATTTCAACTTATTTCCGATTCCTCCGAAATTCTCGAAGAAGGTCGACTCATAACTAATGTTCGCGACGGCCCATCGCTCCATCAAATCTTTTTATTGTCATTTACGTTTTGTACACTTTGATGCCGAATTTAAGGTGGTGCGAGTTATTTCACTCAAATAAAAAAATACTATAGGAGAAATGATAGCCAGATCCCAGGGGATATTTCTGCTGCGAATTAGGCGTCAATGAGGGTGGGCAAGTATTAATGTATTAGCTGGTCATGGGGGGGGATCTTCGGTTTGTAAACTTATTGGCTCAAGACTTGATTTCAACTCAATTCATTTAATAGACTTATTGATAATATTTCGGAGCGAATTATGGATCTTATATTTATTATTCTGTAATTTGTGTTTGGAAGGATCCAATATCTGATCATAATAATTATATTCGCATATTATATGCGAATTATTATTATATTATTTCAATAATTTTTAGAAAGTCATATTATTTGTCTTTCATGAAGGAGATAAAGAAATCGATCTTGAGGTCAATTAAATTATAATATATCTCGATCTTTAAGATCTAGAATTCTGGTTTCTCTCTACGAAATTGATTAATTACGAATGGATGGAGAAAAATTTCGAGTGGTCGAATTATGGTCTTTTTTTCTGGGAAGAATAATCTTTATTGTATCAGTGAGTAGGATATTTGCAACTTTGTCTCTCTCGAACAAGCATCGTGGATGGATTTTATTCTAAACTCAAGAAGAATATGATTAATTTGATTTTATAGGAGACTAAGTATATCCCCACAAAAGGCTACGGGCTCGACCCTATTTTCGCTCTGCGGCCGCCTTGTCGGAT